GTGATAGAAGCATATAAAGTTGATCAGCAACTTTGAGTTGACTTAAACATTGGATTCGAAAGGTTAAAAAAAAAATCAACTTTCATATTCGATAATATTGGGTGGACATAGCGATAGTTTCAATTTACACGCAGCCGTGGAATACGCGGGAAACTTTTATCCTTGCATTCTTTGTGATGTATGAATAACGGGTGCAGCAATTATTTGCTTTCGAAGACAGGGTTGCGTTCGGTTCATACTATGTTGTGAAGACCGATTAGATCCGTTTTCAATGCCAATACAATATAATTACAGATTCTTTTTTGTCGAAATTTCAATGCAATTTCTTAAGAAGACCAGCAAAAACATTAACTAAAATTTATATACTTTGCAGCATCTCTGAAGCGTCCTTCGAAAGCTTAAATAGGACGAGAAATTTAGAAGTGAAAATTTCTGACTTGTAAGGATCTAAGTGTTGGTATAAGACTTTATTATTATTAATATCATTGCTATAATTTTAATTATACCCTACATCACTGGTCGTGTAAGAGTTTCAAGTTTCAACAGACGTACGCAACACACAAAGGAGTTGAATAGACACACCGATCCATTATATAAGCTTCTCTGAGGGTCTGTCGGTTCGTTTGTCCGACCGTTGTGTTTATTTGTGTTCGACCTATCGGTGGTAATTTTTGAAATATTTTGATGAAATGTACTACACTGATGTATTTTGGGCTAAAAACGAACGTTATTGGATATGGTTCACATTGCTCCAAATGTTTGACCACCATACAACCATACAACGCTTTATTTTGAGAAGGCGTGATATGAATAACCGCAGGGTATTATAGTTTGTGGAATAGTGGATCGAGGCTCACTTGCTTTATTATTATATTATTTTACAATTATTATTAAAAAAACTCACCAGTAGATTTTCCTTTCGTGTTTTAAAAAACTTAAGATGTCATGCAGTCGTTTTCAATGATATTTTGTTGTTTTGTGCAAACAGTTTCGGGATGTGCGCAGAATCAGTCGCTCTGAATGTTAATCTTTCAATTGGAGATTTTGTCAGTCATAAAACTTAGTTGTTTACGGTTGTGTTGTGGTTTTGCCCATATTTGCGAATTGAAGCATCCATTTTTTTAGGATTCCGTAGTGTGTTGCAATTGTACGACCAAGGCGACTGCTTACAAAAGTTCGAAGGATTTTGATTTTTTCGACGTGGCGGACATGTGATGGTGGAACAAATTTTACGATTTAGTAAGATGAAAGTGAAGTGGGCGATAGCACTGTCAGCTTTCTCCATTAACCCATTCCCTTTAATTTCCCTGTATCTGTAGAAAAATAGAAAAACTCGTCACACTTACTTAACATTAAAGAATATTGAAATTTCATTCTTTTATCGAAACACTTGCAGAGATAAGTTTCAGGGATCATGCAAAGTCAAATATATTAATGTTCAGTATTAAGGGGTGATGCGTATAAAACTCTCGCTCCCGGCCGAATATAATTTTCTTACCTGTTTGGTATCGTATTGTATTTATTACCATGGTCAAAGCAGGTCGGCGTGCTGGTTATTTACATTTGTTTAATGTAAAGCTAAAGTGTAACTTTGCATAATTTTTGTCATTCCGCTTAAGTCATACAAAAATAGATGTATACATGTATATATATATATATATATATTAGGCCCATTTACTTCTTGCTTTTTATCTTTTTATTTGATCGATACTTATGCTTGCAACACCCTAAATGATTAAATTGAAAGCAAGGAAGTGGTTGTCGTTTGTTTTTTTCCTCTTTACATCTTGAAAAGCGAATCAAAAAGTTGAACATCAGACCTGTCATGTAAAGTTAACAACGAATTACTCTCTAAAACAAATTTGATTTTTTTTTTCTTTCTTACAATTCTAAAAAAATCCCGCAAATTCTGTCTTCGTATTAAATGACATTTTAACGGACTTGCAATGATATTAAAAAACACCTAACAACCGTTAATGCATGACAACTAGATGCATTTTATCGTTTTGTTGCTTTAACAATTTTTATATTTTAAATAATTTATTCATCGTAATCCATTTCTAAAATTTAAAATCAAGTTTACGATGATAACAAATTAATAATAAATTTAATTTAATTTAATAATGAAGAGCGATTATTTTCTTTATTTTTTTTTTCTATTGTATTAATTTTTCGATTTTTATTTTTTTAACATTTTTAAACAAGAAATATAAATATTTAAAAAACCCAAAAACCTGTTTTATAGTCAGCGCCTTGTTGTTATTCAAGAAATTGAAAAAAGCTTAATTTCATTTGATTGTAACATACATAAGCAGATGAGCACTTCTATACAAGTTTAATCCTTACATTTACGCTTTTGAAAAATTAAAACGTCGTTCGTTGAAACACGGGGCTATTGAGCGGAAAATATTTTGACCCCACCCCCGCACGAGATGACTTTTCAATAAATTGATTAACTCTTCCCCTTTTCTTCCTCGGTTTGTAATACATCATGAAAGAATTTAATTGGCCTAAAAATTAATAAACTTACAAATGCAGCAAAAGAAATGCAACATGATGAGAAATTTTTCTCATCAAAAGCAAGTTGTAATAACTTTTCGTTATAAAGACATTGCATGCATTTTTCACAATCTTGTGCGCAGAGCTCTGCTAAGAAATTTTTTTTTTTTTTTTTTTGATTTTTTTTTTTTAAATACGATCAAGGTCAGTGTGGTCCCCTATGCGGGTAGCACGATGACGGTCACAAAGAAATGGAAAAGAGAAAGACATAACTTGCTGGTGGACGCAGCCTAGTGGGTACACGCCCATTCGGTGAGTGCGTACACCGATTAAGCACTGACTCTATTGATAGTTTGAAATTGAACCTGTGAACACTAACTTAATAATCGCGGCGTTTACCTACCCGGCTACTCAGGCAGATATCGTGGTCGTAACGTAAATATGAACACTTACTAATTTACAATGGTTTTATTTTAAGTTCATTCTCCTATTAGAGTTAACCGATAATTATCGAAGAGAACTGTTTCAATTGATGTTGTAGTATATAGTGGGCCATATTCACCTGTCTTCTCGATAAATTTCTACACTCCAAGATCAATCTTCGCGTTGTTTAATTTCTTAATACCCATAATAGAAAACCGATTTATAGTTTAAAAAATACCTCAGAGATCAATATACTTTCTCCACTAAAACATCAGTTTGTTAATTTTATCTATGAAATATATTTCTTTATTCAACTCAAGAGACGCACCTACGGTCAATATTAACATCCCAAACTTCCCTTCACTTGAAAACGGTTTGTGACATCGTCATACATTTATGACGAATACGGTAAATGTTTCTATAATTCTTTGCAGGAATCCTTCGACTTGAGTTTTTGAGCCAGCAAATGTAAAGGAAAATGATTTTTGCTTTTTTTTGTTGACAAGAGACGATTGCTCAGAGATGACGTGGTTCACTAAGCGTTTCATTTGATGTAAAGTAGCAAACCCAATCTATGATCGTGGTGTAACAGTCTTAATCCAAAGTAAATTATTTATCATTTGTAATAATATTGCGTACGGAATGATTGACTTAACGCACAGAATGACGACGATTAACTAGTAGTTTTGCAATCGCAATGAACCGTACTTGCCCACTGCGTTTATTAGATGCTTTGTAAACATGAAAACGCATCATGCGTTCATCAATTCACTCTTCATCTCGAATATAGTTTTAAAGGATAATTACATTTTCAAAACTTTTAGTGCCTTGCAGAATTCTTTTGTTACTCCTTAATAACGCTAGGTGGATTTTTCAACTTAAAGTACACGACACTTATATTCTAGCCTTGTGATCGTTCACTAGTCATGAAATAAGGCAATGCTTATTTTTGTTACATGCCGAAGAAACAGTCATAAAGAAATGCTCCGATATCAACATTATCGTGGAACAGGTTTGTGAAGTCCGTTGTGTGTTAAATGCCTTGTGATTGGCGATGGCTCTGTGATGTTGCTTGAAATACAGCTATTAGTCTAGAGGTAGAAAATGATCATGAAAGTTCTTTAAAATCGATGTACTTTATCTTGAGTTTTTACCCTTAAATATACGCATAAATGAACTGTCAAAACTAATTTTTATCAAAACGTGAACAACAAGCAAAACACTAGTCTTTGCGCGCATATCCACACATGTTTACGTGGATTTTATTACGAGTTTCGTAAACAAACTCAATGCAAATTTTAAAAAGTTTTTGACCTCAGACATAAGATGTCAGTTGCAATTGAAATATTTCTTTTAAAACCGTCTATAATTAACTATTTTAATGGCTTGGCGGAAAAAAAATTTGTTTTCTCACAAGTTAACAAATAAATCAATTACACATAAGCAAAAACTATAAATTTATGTATAGACGCACAAGTGGTCCATCTACGTTAGTCGAATAATCAAGTGCATAAACGTCCAATCACATTACGGACCATCGTCATTATATTGGGTTTTTTTTTTCTTTTTTTTAATTGTGAAACAAGCATGCGCACATACTTAGACAGGCAACTCAACAACCTTTATTATATAAAAAGCAATCGATTGCGAGAAGCAACAAAAAAAAGATCATCTGATATAAAATTTTTGTATTTATTTCATTATTCGTAAATATATAAAATCTTAAAAAAAAAACATTTTTTTTAAAAATATATCAAGTAAAGCACAGGGTCAAGCACACGCACACACAGAGTCTGTTCTAAAATTTTTTGAACAAAACTTGTTCAGTACGTTTTTATACCTCGTTCGCGATGCATCTTACGCTTCAGAAATAATTAATAATTTAAACTGTGAACGAAAACAAACACAATAAAAAGAAAAAAAATAATAATAATCGTACGCATGCTTACTAGAGAGAGTGGTTTCCACGCATTTACTTATCAGCGTACAGAATTCCGTATATAATATTTTCAAGTGATTCCCGTTGCAATTGTGTTAATGCGTTTTTCTATTGGCTCCGGTTGGTCTAACGACGTTCGTTTTTAAACAAACACTATTATCTTAGTAGTCGGCTACGTTGGCTAACTGCGGTGCGTAGATCTTGCCCAGTAACATTCGTCAGCTCCCTCAACTGGAGTGCAAATGTGTGTTCAATTTGTTGCAATTTTCTTTTTCCACTCATTCATTCGCTTTGCTTGCAAAGACTTATTTTTATTGTGGATTGTATTGTGCTAAGCTAAGCGACGTATAAGAGTTTTCCAAACTTTAACTCTTTGAGAATTTAAATTAGATTAAGAGAAAATTTTCAACTCAATCTCAACTCTAAACTTCTAACTCTCTTTTGCTCTCTCTTTGAAGATGTGTCTGAAATGTCACATTGCTACACTAAACAAACTGCTTCTTTATTAAAGTGTTTCAAAAAATTATTTTTTAATTTCGCTTTCAGTTACCTTTCCCAATAAATGTTTAAAGTTTGTGTTTTCGGCTTTTATTTTTCTTTGCAGTTAACTGCTAAACTTAAAATAAAAGAAGACAAAGAAAAAAAACATTTTTTAAAGCGAAAAATGTAGCCAAAAAAATAATAATAAAAAAAAAATGATTAACGAAAATTATTTATTCATTTATTTATTCATTGTTTAACTTAAAAAAAAAAAAAAAAAAAAAACTAAATATGGAGAACAACTTAAGTGCAATAAAACAGTATATGAACGCTAACTGTGCCCACCGTGGTTCAGTGTCGTCTACTAATTCATTCGAATTGCCGTTGACACCGACCAGATCACCTAAAAAAGTCTCGTTCTCTGATGAATTACCTCAGTTTACAACAACACCTGCTCCAATACCTAAAGAAACAATTGCAGAAGGTATTGAAAATTCCAAGGCGCTTATGCATAATGAAATAAAACATGATAGCGATGAAAGTTATCCGGTTAATTGCATATTTTTACAAACTCAAAATTATTTAGATAAATTGCATGGTTCCAATGATAAGTCTTTATTAAATGCCAACAAATTTACCAGTAGTTTAAGCATAAATTTAACCCAAGAAATACACAACGAAATAACTGCAAATACGCATCACAACTTGTACGAAAGCTTACCTCAACTAGCAGAATCGTCCGCAAATAATCCTTCTTCACCATCATCCTCATCGGCTATATCGTCTTTAAATGAGGATAATGCCAATAATTCATCTTCAACTTATTTGTCTAACGAATCGTCGGATACTTGTGTTAAACAATCGTTTGATTCGTTATTAGAAAATCCCACCAGAGAATCAGGCAAAAAAATGTTGAGCTCACCAACAGTACAACAGCAACTTGACATAAATCAAATAATTGATGAAGAAGAAGATCAAGTTGTTAAATGCACGGAACGTTACAATATTAATTTAAATAAGAATTCATGCAGTGCTATGGAATTGGAAGTGAAACGAGATAAAATCCGATGGCTTTTAATATCAGAATGTAGCGCTTTATTAAGTGAAGGTAAACATACTAGAGAAGGTTTTCGTAAATTATTTCTCGATCAGGTAAGTTTTCGACAACTTATTATAATTTATTAGTAAATTTTATAAAAAGGAAAAATAAGTTCATATTTTACAAACGGGCAAGCTCGACCCCGTGAATGCCCTGCGCCGCTTGCCCTAATACGGTTCCCAATTTATTTTTCTGGTAAGATGCTAAGACTTATATAGTGTTTCCATGTAAAGGCATACTCGCACTGAGAGGGAGAAGAGTCCAAATCTGAACTGACGTACTCCAAAGGTTTTCTTTGTCAAAATATTTTATCGTATTATTAAAATATTTAGAAATTGAATAAGTTCCCAACCATGATCTCCTTGTTATTTAGAAGCATTATATGGAGTGGCTACAAAAAACAGAGATATGTGATCCAAATGTGGTGCAGTTGATTTTTAAGTCAAATTACTATTATAAACTACTTTTCACCGTGGAATGTTAAGAAGTAAACCAACAAAGGCTTACTTTTCATAGAAACGGTCATATAAGTGAGCTTTTCAAACATCAGCCCCTTTGATTCATATCTTTCACATCAATTAAGTTTGCCGAAATATAATCGCTCGGCGGATTACAATAACAAGTTTTATAAATTTCAAATCTTTTTCAAAATAAGAGATCAGCTGGGAAGTGATCGCGAAAATGGGCAAATTCATTTTGAATACTGTTTCATTTTGGACCAGAAGACGTCTGTATACTAAATTTCAAATTGCGACCTCTACGTTAAATACAAATATAGATAGACTGACAAGGTTAAGAGTCACCTCAGAAAACTTTTCAGAATAGATCGATTCTATCTTAAGTCCATCTGGGTATGTCCGCACAAATTTAATATGCCGTGTAGTAATAGTGTAGGGCGTAATTAGACTCTAGAACGGCTTAAATTGAAACTTTTCACAATCTCAAACAAGGTATAACGTTATGAGAATCGTTAACAAAAATATGCTTTATATAGAGATCCCTTACTTGCATAATCCTTGGGTACTATTCATACAAAATATCATTTGAGATAGAAAACTAAAGCTTGAAGCAAAAAACTTAGGGCTAACGCATATGTAAATGGTTTAGAAGCAATACTGTCGAGTTGGCTTACCCGGATTCATTCTTTAATGCGGTAGACCATAATTTAATTGCCATTGGTATGTGACTTATAATAGCGCGCGTTGTTCGTTCGCTAATGACATAACCGTTAACGGTCGATCACCATTCTCTCACAGTTCTTTGTCGCCATGAAAGTGTTACAAGTATAGTGAACACCTCCCCACTCCCTAAGTGGGGACCGCAGATTAAGCTCGGAAATCCTGTTTAAAGACTGGTGTGATTTACTTATAACACGACTATAAAATATTAAAAACCATTTCCTTAACCATAATGTGCGAAACTATTAAAAACCATTTCGTTCCCTTGGTCGATTAGCCTCACAATGTTTCCATGCCTACATAACACATTATTGCAGCAGATGAACGAAATACAGCAACTGTAGGATACAAATTTAATGATGACCCAGATTATGTGCTTTCCCAAGAAATCGTCAATTCTGATAAAGTCGATATATGATTTTAGTAATAGCATATTAAAGGTTTAAAAAAAAAATTTTTTATATATTTATGTATAGTGTTGGTTGGGTATTATGCTGTGAAAATTTCAAATTTATTACATAAGAGAATAGCAAAACAAAAAACAACATAACGTGCATTCTAAAAAACTTAGAATTAACCTAAAGTCACGTATCTCTTTTCTGCATTTATTCATTTTCTATTAGCGAGTACAATAGCCGTCTATCAACATTTCAGCAAGATATTGCATTTCTTAAGAATGTTAAGAATTTCATAAAATCGTGTATGCCTATTAATCCGAATACTTATAAATGCGTCATGGATATGAATGAATTAAAACAATTGATGTAAAACGTTACAATAATTATGAATTTCAACACGTGCGATAACGTAACAGAGTAAATATTTCATTAATAAAATGCTCAGAATTAGAAACAAGCGAATTCTTCAATCATTAACTTTGGACCTATACACATAAGTGGTTAGGGTTCATGCCACAGTTTCTTAAATAATCGTTCCCTTGCTTTTTCTCCGAAACGTCTAAGAAATTGTAATGCCTGGCCTACATAAATACACCGTAGAATTACAATTTCTCATATCATTAACTCACATAGTGTTAAGACTCGGGAGGACCCCGTGAGCTTCAATATACAGATTTGCCATTTCCATTTCCCATTTTATCGATTATAACACATTACTCAATAAACCAACGGGATCAAGACCGTTTTCTTCCAAATTTTGTCATCTAAACGCACTAATAATGGTATGGAATATTCACTGTTCATGCTTTCTCCCCTTTTAAGGCAGTCGACGAATATTATCATAATACATGCGCATGCCAAAATACGGTCGCTATACCCTCTTTGACTCTACAGTGTAGTGATGAATCCATGTCGCATCCACACACACTACGCATAAAAAATTCTTTCAATTTCGCCTACGGGTTGTTTTCAATCAAAACCAAGCAAAAGTAGTACCCCCTTCGGAAAGAGCCTTCTCATCAACAAATGTTCAAAAATGGCAAAATAGTAAATACATTGTCTTCTGACACCATTAACGTGTCAGCTATCTCACGCAACTTCGGTTTTCGATCTTTCAAAACGATTTAGTGCATTTTTCTTATGTTTTCTGGAAATCTCCAGGTTTCGGGCGACTCAAGCAAGCGTTGAGCATATTAGAATTCATGCAGCGGCGTTTAAAAGCAACAAAGTAGAGTCACGTAACACTTACCAAGCCATTGCTTTGCTTGAACGCTACTTCTTCCTGTTCAAGGACAATGCTTTATCAACACACGAGGTTCAGGCTTCCTCTTTTCCTTGATCATTCCGAAAATAGCGTCACTAACACAACTCTAAATTGTGATCTAATCATCGGAATGTTATGAAATTTTAAAACATTTCTAAGTACCAACTACTAAAAATCATATGGATTTGTCAATAGCGACGACGTCTATGTGTCAACCCACAACCTTATTGAGCGATGTCTTAAATACACATAAATGAATTCTTCTTCTTTCATTTTAAGTATTTTAGCAAGTATTCTTACATATCTCAAGTAGTCGGTAAACCGGAATGATAAAATATTAAAGTTTACTTATATAAAAGCGTGTTTCGGCTTGTAATAATTTTGTTTAGTACACGCTAAGGTAAATAATACATCTTCTACTCGTATCCGGTTGTTCCACAACGTTTAAGGTTATTATGTCAAAATTACATGAGCATGTAAAAAACAAAACTAAACAACTTTTTTTAAATCTACCGACGAAACTAGGAGTTATATTTATCGAATCATTCCATTTGTAACGCGCTAAATTACGTCTCAGAGGCCTATTTGAAACTGTATGAGTATCTCAAGCGAAGTCACTGCACATCTGACCCCTTATTTCTGTCTTCCTGTTTATTGCTGAGACTCCAGAGAACAGGCAACAAAATGAAAATATAAAACTCTTCCAGTTAATTGAACATATTAAATCGAAAAGAGTTGATAACGCGTCCACACCTTTGGAAGTAATAGTTACCTGACTTCGGAAGATCAAAATTCAAATACGTTTTCATCATTCAAAAACTCGTTACGACAACTATAGATTAGATTATTAAATGTGTTTCCTTTGCTTTATTAGCAAAATGAGTGTAAGCGACTCACAAATAAGCCTATAGCTAAGGAAGACACCGTTTTTTCCGGTTATTCACTTTCTGTGAAGTACTTCAAAGATTCGACCACAACGCCACCGTGCGAGTGCATTGCACTCATACAGCCGGTTCATTTTTAATGCGACAATATCAGACGGACAAATGGACAGACAAACAGGTGGACGAACAGGCAGCCTAGATCAATTGAGAAAGTGACTCTGAATCTATCGGTATAATAAAAGATGGGCCTATCTGAAATTCTGCTGAGTAATGTATACATTGACAAAAATTTAATATACCCGTGTATCACAAGGCAAAAAAGGTGCAAGATACAACAAAAGAATTTAATTGATTTTGATATAAAAATGGGAAATTCTCTGACTGTCGCAATAGAAATGAAGGACACATATGCTGTTGAATGAAATTATTCCGAAAAATCTGCAAACATTGGATTAGTGTTAATAACTACAAATTAATGGAATAACTTTAAGTATTGGTGCTTTATTTAACTACAAATTTGGCATAATATGGTAAGTTACACGCGAAAATTTTAAATTGTTTTTGTTCTTCCACTGTTATGCGTCGAATTCAAACGTGCCGACAGCGGGGAGAAGAATTCGTTAAAGTGAAGAGAAAAATTGACATCAAACTGACGAAAAAGAAGGCAGGTTAAAGAGTGAATGGACGAACAGACAAGCAGATGAAAGGACAAATAAAGAAACATACTTAAAAACGTGCGCATTGAGAAGCAAACGGAAAACCGGACAGACAGGCGGGCAAATACGTGCACCCAGGGTCAACGATTAGACGGATGAACAAATAGAAAGAAAGAAAATAAAAGCACCTCCAGTCAATGGATAGACTGATATATGAATAGGCAAAAAAAAAGGTGCATGAATTGATAAACAAACAAAAATAGGAGCAAACTGATCAACAAGCGAAAGACGAGCAAGCAGGCAAGCTAACATAAATGTAGACGGAAATTTTTACTTATATCGAAATGCGTTACAAATGGAATATAAATGTTAACATGCACTTAAGCTTGAGATGTAACAGTTATAGTTGCTCATTTAAAACTCTTATCTTTTTAATCCTATGTATAGTTGACTTGAAATTTAAATGCCATCATGTAAATATGTAGTTACGTTATAATAGGAAAATAAAGAAGCAGACAGAAGTGCATCATGAAATTCAGCATAGCATCGTTATTTAAAAAAAGTTTCATTTATTGAATTAACTAAAATACATCAACAGCGTTCACGACAATAGAGGTACTGCGCTTCATTGCTTGAATCTTCCAAGTGAAAACAAAAGAAAAAAAAGCAAAAAAAAAAATATTTCATAAAAACGTTATTATTATAAATTATATTCAATGCAAACAATTTCCAAGAACTGGTATCACATGAAGGTCAATCAACATAGCACATTTTATAATAAAAAAAATTCACGAAATTCTTTTTGCCTTAAGCAGATTCCTGTTTTGTGTTCAACCATCCATTCCAGATAAGTAAAACACACACAATATATACGTAGATGTGAGTTTGAAGACATTACATTAAGAAGTTAAATATAAATATGTATACGTATGCACATAAATCCAAGGATGCCTTTGTGGTTGTTAAGTAAGATTGAATGATAGTTTATTTCAGTTCAGCGATTAGCGAAAACATAGCAGAAACGAAGAAAAAAAAATCTTTTAAAGTCGCACTCTATATACCTGAGATAACATTCAATTAGTAAAACATATCCAAAAAAGCAAAATTATACATGATTCCCTCTTAAAGCTACATACACAACCAGTTTATAATGTAGCTTATATTTAAATTGCATTTGCCTTGTTTTCTTGTGCGTACATAATTCTTCTTATTTTTATGTTTGTTTTTTCATTTCTTTTATTTTATTTGCAGGAATTTCAACAGAAATTTTTTCACCTGTTCGATTTAGACAATAATGGTTATTTGGTGCAAGATCGTTGGATAGAACATCTGAAAGGACGTTTGACGTAAGCTATCTTAAAACGCATTCATGTAAAGTTTTCTAATGCACGTTAAGATAAATTCTATGCAAGCAAGCAAACACATCCGTTCTACTATGCCTTGTCTACGATGGTTAAAGAGCTAACACACTTTTAAGTCATTAACACGAATATTCTTTTTTCCACGAGCTTTCATAAAACCATATATCCGATACAGTTAGTGTGAAATGTTGCATTCTCTTTTTAGCCAGCAAATTGATGGGCTGCCTTTTCATACTACGTACAACCATTATATATATAAATAATAAATGCTTTTTATACCTCTCAAGATACACCATTCACCACAAAATACAAACTTTGTACACACATAATTACACGTCACCATGCTTATAATATCGGTGTTGTTGTCTTACATTATTTACTAGTTGATTGAAAAAAGTGTTGGCGTTGTCAATTGGTTTGTTTCAACTCATGTTTTTTATGTTATTTGCTACATGTTCTGCATAGATAAAAAACTTAAATGGCAAATTGAAACGCCGCGCTCACATATTCACTCGCTCGTCTGTATATGCATAAACAAGCAAAAAAGTATCACAATAAAAAAATTTCAAGCACACACAATTACTGGTAGAGACTTTTAATGGTCAGGGCTACTATGTGGCCACCTACTGCGAGCTTCTATATCAAATAGAGTAAGGCATTCTATGCCTGTCCAGCTATATGCAAATATGTATGCATGTAAGCTCACGATATGCACGCCATAAACATATTTCCTTTTTTTTTCTTTTTTTTTTTTTGGTTTTAATTGTTACCATTGTTTTTATTGTTCGATATGTCAGAGCGAATACTGCATGTACTAGCTTTAGAAGCGAATATGTTAATAAATATTGACCTTTTTATCACATTCTAGTTCCTGATATAATTTTCCTATTTACAATAGTTGAACTATAGCGAGTACTGATTTTGTATATACACTACCTATATACATACACTTATATATGGATTTGTACGAATAAGATAGGGGAGCAATGTTAAAGATTAATATTTAATCGTATCCAGCCTCCCTGTTGATCTCGTTTTAAAAATTATGTTCGTCTCGTTTTATAATTCATATTGTCTTTGGAGCAGGAGAGAATTAAAACAGACGCTGTTCTATTTTTCATCCGGATCTTAACAGCTTCGGCAATTAACCGAGCCTTTTCTTTAGCAGCCATCTAGCCAGACTCCAGATTCCTCGTGACCATAACAAGCTCATCCTTACCTACTCCATCTATTTTCGACATAAGCTTTTTGATATTTCACCTTTTAAGATATTATTAGGGAATCTATAGTTTTATGGAAAAGGGCACTTCTCTGGTCTAAAAATATCTTCGTTAGTTATCTTTAAGCTCGCAATGATGCATTGCTACTTGTGACACGTAGCAGCGTGAGCAATTTATAAGTCCACAAGTAAAATATTATTTACATATAAACAAGTAAAATATTATTTACGTTTAAGATGGTGGAACTGGCTGAGGAAGCACCTATATGAGGACGTTATATTTAGCGTCGCGAAAGTTTATTGCTTCTAAAGAAATTTTTTCAGGATAATTTCATTGTCTTCATATTTTGAAACTCAATTTTAAAAAATGACAGATGAAAAGCGCTTTCTATAAGTGTTTGACACTTAATGTTATACGGAATGAGAATATGCCACTCATCGCCCCTTATTTAACACCCCCGCCTTTGTTTGGGCAAAGTAAACTGCTTGCTATGCTGTCGACTCTTCTCGCGATTTTGAACGGAAAATTTCCCAGCGAGAATTTTCTCCAATGTCCTTTCTGTAACAGACTAGAAGATTTTTCTCGGGGCTCCTAACAACAAAAGAAGAAGGCTGCGGGGAAAATCTTCGAGAAAACATAACCTCGACGAACTTCATGCCGCCTAGGAAAATATATTTTCGACACATTCAGTAAATAAATGTTCACTACGAAGTGAAAGTAGCTACGTCACTCGTTGCGTAGATCATTCAAGTCTTCACGAGGTCTACACCATGAGTTAAATTCACCCAAGAAATATTAGGTAATCTACGCTTCCAAGACGACAAAATTCTTATATTCATCTCAAACGCCCAATGCATCTTGAATTATTTATTTTATTAAGCTCAAGGTCATTTAGTTTAGATGCACGTCCAAAAATCTTAATTACAAATGTCTGAAAATTTTCATTATTATTTCAGGGATGAGCGGCAAATGGACTACGCCGAACAACTGGAATCAGTGGCTTATGTTATTTGCGGTGAAAATAGTAAATTAACATTTAAAAATTTTTACGACATATGGAATACTCGCGGAGTAAGTGCACACACTACACACATATATTCATCTTAATTCTCTTCTCTTACAATCAGGTCGCTACTATATATTTTAAATGAACTTTTCTTTTTTCTTTTTGTAGATCTTAGATAAGTTGTATCGTCTTATCGATATTGATGGTACAAATCTTATATCAACCAATCAAATTATGGAATTCATTTCTCACTTAACGAACTCCAGGTACGTGCTGAGCACAAATTCAAAATTAATTATTAATAAGATTAACAGAAGTAAAAAAAGAAATAGAAAAAATAGTGTAAGAATTTATGATCTATATAACATGTGGAATCATTTTACAAGTTATGTAACTAATTGATTCACTTAAATGCAGAACAAAAACTACAATGAAAGCAATGTCCTTATGGAATATAAGGAAAAGGTATTAATAGCACATAATATTGAATTGCAAAGTAAGGGAAGTGGTTTACGCACAACAACTATACTCTCTCTCTCTCTCTCTCTCTCTCTCTCTCTCTCTCTCTCTCTGTGCGTGGGTGTGTGTTCTTCTCCCCCTCCCTTTATTTCCAAGTATTGCTTTAAAATATGTTCAATAACTGATCGGTACATAACATGCCCATTAATCAAAAGTTACACTCATAATAATCTTAAACTAATCTATAATTTTTTATTAAACTATAACTAAGACGTGTTGTAAATATGTTTTGTACTTGTATAAAACTTTGTTATTCGACCATGTTTTGTTGATGTGCATCAATGTTTATACCCAGTAACACTTGTCTTACGTGGTATGGTAAGTTTGTGTGAACATATGCAACAACTGAAGGATAGACTCACCTTTAATAATACATACTCTCTAATCTTATGTGTCCGTCTGGCAGATTGATGTTTTTCCATGTAAGTTGTCTTCAACCTACAGGTCGTAACTTTTCACATATTTTGATAAAACTAGGCATACAGACGGAACTTGACACAAGAACGCCGCGGTTGGAAACGATTCGAAACGAACTGCTTCTCCGATCGAAAGTTGCATATTTTCGACAATCTAAATTGGTATGAAAAAATTGGGTCGGCTGTGGCAATTTTTGGAATCCCCTCTCATATAATCGTTCCAAGAATTAATTTCCAATATTTCATATTGAAAATAGGATCACTGGAACAGTAATTTGACGTAGAAACTAACTGTGGATCAGGCCAAAAAAGCCTAATTATTAATGTTTTGTGATGAATACTTGTCGTTGATAATAACTTGACAGAAAAATTTGAACCACACTGCATGCCAAGTTTCCCATAAATAGCTCTTCAATATTTTATGGTTATGGTATTTAAGTTGGATCATAGTAGTAAATTAACCAAAAAATTATCTGCAGAGAATTTCGATCACATAGGTCTATTTCTTTGAAATCCCAGCAACTATAGTGATTATCATGAAAGGCAAGTTCTTATATGGAGAAAATGATTAATTTCTAGTTTTTTATGACTGACAATTAATAAAATTTTTAAAAAGCAAATTAGGTTTGCTAAATTTGGAGCACGCTATGTGAAGTTTTGGGTATCCTCCAATATGCGGACTTTCATGAAAAATATGCCTTTGCTTGAAAATAATGCGTCATTTTGATGTTAATACCAAACTATTACCAAAACGTGTGAATAATTGTACTAGACGACGTTGTGCAGGGTATCTAATTCCTACCCTTGCCCGCCTTACTTGTTTTCAAATGCATTTTTTACGATTGACGCTGTTGCCTAGTTTGCACGTATATGTATCTAATGATGAAAAGTGAAACTGATCGCGTCATTCATGTCGTTACCAAATTTTAATGAAATGCCATTCTTTTCTCTTGCCGTTGATCTTAGGGTCACTAAATGGGAGACGAAGTAAATATATAGAATAGTACATATAGAATACGACTGTTAATCTCTGGATAAATCAAATAAAATGCAAGAAGCGCTTTCAAAAATTTTTATTTATTAAATTTAATTCATTTATTTCTTGTTGCATTATTTTGTTTTTTCCCCCTTAATGCTGCTGTTGATGACAACTATTTAGACCGCGGACAGGTTTCGACAAAAGCTCTTTAGCTCGTTTAGAGCAATTGTTTCGCAATACAGTGGGAAACGAAAAGGAGATACGACGCGAAGAATTCCAAAAGATTGTTACCTCAAAAAACGTAAGTACACTTCGTAATTTAACTAGATGTGTGCCTCTTAAGCGTCCACATCTAAACAACGTTATACAAGTAAAAAAAAACAAAAAACATGAACGCAATGTGTTTCATGACATGAAACAACACATACATATTGATTATAGATCGTTATATAAAAAAAAAAAAGGGGGCTGTCAAAAAAGTACCGAGAAATCTGTTCAAGCATAATTTTCAAAAAAAATTATCTCTAATAATATTTTTTACCGGAATAGTTTTTAAATTTACACCATCTTTACTCGAGCACCTTCACTTAACTTTGACCAAATGTCTTTTGCAAAAATCTTACAAAACCATTAATTGGCGCCTCCTTTCAAAAAACCGGCTTTTAAGGAAATTTGCTCCAAAAGTAAACATATCTCGCGTTACAACCGTTGTTATTATAATGAAATGAACGACATCTATATTGGATGGATCCCAATTTATCACCATATCTAAGATAATTGATGCTATAAAAGGAAAGGTGAAAAAACAGTTCCTGACCGCACTGAAAGTCAAACAAGACAATTGTTGCATATCGCTCCAAATGGAACTTCTTCTTAAAGGACACGATGGGATTAACTTAGTCCCTTACAGTTATAGATATTTTAGCCCGTTTTCCAGTACCTTTTTCACACCCTTTGTAATTATTTTTCTATTTCTTGCACAATTTTTGTTAGCCTTTCTTTACAGAACGTGTATTTCAAATTTTCGACAAAGATAACTCAGGTTCAATATCACTACAAGAATTCATTGACGCAATTCATCAATTCTCAGGGCAATCGGCTGACGATAAGATACGCTTCCTATTTAAAGTTTACGATATTGATGGTAATACTCCTATAATATTACTCTAATATCCATATTCTATTAACATTAATATCCATATCACGTTAACTTTATAAGCGTGCCAAAGAGTAATTTCAATTGAATCCATCGTTCGATTTACTTACGCACGGTTTTCATAAACCTCCGAGAGACAATAGTAAAAGAACCCTCGAATGTCAGTTCTGGCGATAAAAAAAATGGTACTAACAAATCTTCTAAGACTTAAGTTAGGTAAAGAACCTAAATCAGAGAGGGCAGTAACTACTTTATACCTTGGATCGAAACTGTCAAATTCTGTCAAAACATTATGTAAGACATTTGAAAGCAAAGTAGAATCATATTTTTACGAAACACTTCCGCCACATTTATACACATATGTCATAGCTTTTTTCCGAATCGTGAGCGAGCAATTGCTCCGGTTTTGTTCATTTTGAAAAAGAAAATTTGGAAGAGAAAGTCGATTTCGCTATTTTCATTCCTATAGTTTGTTGTCTCTGAGGCATATATCCCTTAGGTGCAAAGATCAAAGTTACATTGAAAAATCTAACGCACCACATCACAGAGTTTTCCATTGCGTCGAACTCCGATATAATTTTGCAGAAAATTGGCTAAATTCAAAACTTCTTTTCCTAAGGTCTTTAGGTTGAGTTTAATATATTTTTCTATTTTCTAAATGATTATAATATATTGCAAGGACGCATTATTATTTCCAGAACTCTTAATAAAATTGAGTGCGTGTTTTAAAATATGGTATTGGCCACCGAGCGGAAACAGTACTCAGACAGACTATAAGTTATCGATTGAAATAATTGTTAACTAGAAGAAGTAGCGCTTCGCAAGCACAGCTAAGCCATCTTCGAATATGTTAATATACATTCGAATACCATATTAGTACGATGTCCCGGACTGATTTTGCAATACGTGAGCAAGCTTTGCATTGCTGAAAATCTAATTTATCATCTCTTCTTTTATATTCACCACTGAAGGATGAACGTATACTCATTTTGTCCCAATGTTTACCATTCCTAAAAGAAAGCTTATGAAGTATGTATGTTGCTCATCAGTGGGAAATTCTGAATCATCTAAATGTTTCATCGCCTGTCCGGGGGTGTATTGTTGACACTCTCCTCTTCACAAAAATGACAATATCGACTTAAAATTTGGTAGAAACAATGGAACTTCTTGCACGGATATCGGTATTGAAAATGGACTAAATTAGTCGAACAAGACACATCGTGATAAATGTTTGATAAACGGGTATAAAATATTCGGCCTAAACTAAATAACATTTTTTTACTTGTTATATTCAACGCATCTTGTGGTACAAGAATATATTAAGTTTGTGCGAACGTATGCAACAATCTTTGAAAAATAATCCTCAGAAGTTAATGCAAAAATCATGTCGGCGGTGTAAATCAAACGATGGGTTGAACAAACTTTTCCTACAATCTGAGCACATTAATAAATAAGTCTTCCTTTCAATTAAATTGCTATCCTTTCATTTCTCTCCTTATTAAATGAATCACTAAAGGTGATGGTCTCATACAGCACAAAGAGCTGCACGATGTGATACGTGCCTGTATGGAGGAGAATGGCATGGAATTCTCTGAAGAACAAGTTAGTATCGCAATAATCTAAATATTATTCATTATAATCGATGTGACCTCACAATAACAGATAGAAGATCTGACGACAGCCATGTTTGAGGATGCTGATCCTTACAATCGTGGTGAGATTACCTATGAGGCTTTAAAAAATCAATTACATAAGCACGGAGGTTTATTAGAAAATCTAAGCATTACGTAAGATTTTCTATCGCTTTCAATTGGAAATGAGTGTTGATTGACATATCCATCCAATTTTATTTATAGCATTGACCGCTGGTTAGTGCCAATGGCTCAGGATAAGAAGTCTCTTAAAAACACAAAATCAACATTCTGGAATTCAATTCGACGACCTCATCAACTAACTAGAGCTTATATGAAAAATAATCATGTTTTTGTTTCATACTTGTTTGTGTACATCGCGATAAATGCATGTCTTTTCGTATCCAGAGCCATACAATATCGCGCTAGCAATACTTTTGTCATTTTAGCGAGAGCTTGCGGTAATTTTCTTCCTTTTTTTTAACTGTCCGAAATAACTAATCGTTTGCATATTACAGGTCAATGCTTAAATTTCAATTGTGCTTGGATTTTGGTTCTTATGTTAAGGCATTCCTTAACTTATTTACGTTCCCGTGGTCTTTCAAGTTACTTGCCTCTAGATAATCATATTTACTTACACAAAATGACCGGTATCGTGATATCGGTTTTCAGTGTCGTGCACACAATTATGCATTTATTTAATTTTTCCTTGATTGTGGTAAACGATCCAAAGATAAATGCGGCTAATTATAGCATTGCTGAATGGTTGTTAACTGATAAACCAGGCTTATTTGGTCTGGTAGCCGGCTGTGCGAATCCCACTGGAGTGTCTTTAATTGTCATATTGTTAATAATGTTTATATGCTCGCAGCCGTTTGTTCGACGTAAGGGTTCATTCGAAATTTTCTATTGGACGCATTTACTATACGTACCCTTTTGGATTTTGTGCTTATTTCATGGGCCGAATTTTTGGAAATGGTTTCTTGTGCCCGGTATTGTTTACATTATAGAGAGAATCTTACGTTTCGTATGGATGCGTGGGGAACATGGGAAAACTTATATAAGTTCGGGACTTTTATTACCTTCGAAGGTTATACATTTAGTAATCAAAAGGCCGCTTAATTTCAATTTTAGACCTGGTGACTACGTATTTGTCAATATACCGACCATAGCCAATTATGAATGGCATCCATTTACGATTAGCTCAGCACCAGAGCAAGAAGATTACATGTGGTTACATATACGAACGGTGGGTGAATGGACTAATCGTTTGTACCAATATTTCGAAAAAGAACAACAAAAACTACACAACGGTCAAGCAATACCACATAAGCAAGCAATACCTACTTCGAGTTTATTGCGCATTCAGGAAAAAAGTTCTACGACACCAATGTCGCCAACGCCGCAAACGGATTTCTTGGCGAAAAATCGAAACCATCTACAACCTTCTCCAACTTCCAATACAAATAACAATTTGAAAACTGTGCAAAAAGTACAAAATCCCTCTAATAGCATCAAAACAATGCCACAAAATTTTATGCCTTCAAAACTGGCCACAGAGAGTATAAGCGCTCGTGATGCCGGTGAACTTTCCCCATCGCCTTTGGCGAGTGGCTTACCCAATAACGATCGTATACGTAGTCTTAAGCAAACGTTGCAAAGAACCTTCTCACGCAAAGATGCCGAAACGAGAAACAAATCGCCATCAAGTTATTTAAATGGAGCTTTTGTAACGGATGAATACGATGTGGAAGCAAATCTAGAGAAAGGTAAACGTAAAAATTTGCAAAGGCTGTTACTCAACAAACCACCATTGGAAAAAAGCGTCTCTTTACCTGATATGGCGGTGAAAACTAAGAAAAGGGCTCATCTAAAAGCGTAACTAAATTTATTTGAAAATTTTAATTAATTAATTTATGCACCATATATATTTTTCTAAGATTGCACGCTTTAAATCGATCCGAGTCTGAGCGTTCTTTTGACGAGACACGAATGAGACGAGCCCGTCTACAAAGCCTAGGATTGGCTTATCTTAGTCCACAAAATAAATCTTTAGCTCAAAGTTTTCGTTATATGCGCAATAAACCCACAATCATAGCCTTCAAAGCTCCTAAGGTAGAAAATAATGAACCAGAAATAACAGAAGCTAATGGGAACGTTATTAGGCAAACTTATATGCCTGCACTTGAAGTTAAAGAAGGTAAGAAACATGGAGAAGAAAAAGCAAACATCACTATTAAAGCCTAATTCCCTTAGTTAACAATACAGAGCATACAATGATAATTGGTAATAATGGATTGAACGCCACTTATGTGTTAGCTAAACCTTTAGAGGTAAGTATAAGTGTCCCATAAACGAAACATAAAAGGCTAAATTACTTGATATCAAACTTTCCCTCCATCAAATCACACACGTCTACGTTTAATCCTACATGTCCAAACACAAAGTACACAAAGGATCTTTTCACAAGAGCGCCCTATTTCCGTTTGCCCGCTTCGAGATTAAGTGATGACACTTACTTCATTGTTTCAACATGACCTCGTTGACAAATAATGCGCTTTTATCAAAATGAACTCGTTCGGTCATGATTAGCACCAATTCATGCTGAACTCTAAACACGGGCGTCCACGACGGCATGAATTTGTCATAATAATCTAAGCAAATAACTTTTGGTATATTATTTAAACGAAGCGGCAGAATTTTTCCCAAAATTTGGTTTCAATACCACCCCACAATGTGGTATTTACCCAGCGATTTAATCGTATTTTAATTCTATCCTAACCTGTGCAGCTGCGCCTGGTGGTTTAAGGTAAAGCAAAAAACGGCCGCGATGGCACCAAATAAAATCTAGCATTTCACTTGTATTTACGGGACCAGGGCGAGCTGAGCACTAGTTCATATAGTCATAAAAAAAGAAACTTGCTTGAGCGCACTCAGACTATCGAATATCGACAGACTAAAACCGGGAGCAAAGCTAATAGTATGTCATCAGTTCAGAGTGACCATGCCGGCAAAATGGTTTCAGAAGGCCAAGCTTTGGAACCTGGGTAGACGTAAGGAAGTGGTATACGGTCCAAAACTACAAAACGGCGAAACCGGGGCTGATATATATAGCCCGGGCTTTCAAAAGGCTGGCATACTATATGCGCCTCTGAATGCTTTAAGAGACAAAGCAGGACATAGCTGATGTGCATTCACTCTGTCAGTCAAGCCGTACACTAAAAGATTTATTATGTAAATGTAAATAAAAATTAACTAACTTTGGTTAAGCTCACCAAGCTTTAAGTTCTTACATTAAAAACCGTAGGCCTGTTATATTCACGCGAAATTATAGTGCAACGCTATATGACTTCGTTTTACAGCTTTACGTATAAGTACGAATGTAGCTTTCAGTATGTTCGTCTCTTAAGTAAATATATCTCGTGCTGAACGCTCTAAGTATCAACGCATTGGTACAGCAGCCAAGAGCTATAAAAGCAGCGCGCAAGCAGCAATCTTTCCTTTAGTTGTTCAGCTGCAGTTGAACGAACGGGTAAGTCAAAGCAGTAGTAGTTGTCCCGGAACGAGGTCCGCAGGATAGCAATGTGCGCTTGCATCATTGTCTTATAGACTCTCGACCCGAAAGGACGCCCTAGCTTTGTGGCTGACCAGTAATTAGCACATAGGCGATGTCCGACCGGAACGGTCCTTAAAATAACAGTGTGCACTTGCCTCATTATATTATAGACTCCCGATACGAAAGGATACCCCGGCCTTACAGAACCTAGTAGTTCGTCACTTTTGGAACAAGGTCCTTAAGATGATAGGGTGTTCTCACAGAGTCTCGGCCCCCCTTTACACCTGGTACACCTTTAGGGACCCGGTAGACTGCCTGTTAAACCGCTAAAAAGATTGATTAACAGAGCATACACGTAACAGTTTTATTTTCACAACACCGTCGCACGCGAGTTATATTTCCTCGGTAAACACTCAATGCGTGTTGGCTTTTTCTTTCATCACGAAGTTACGTCGCAAATATGGCCATCTTCTATGTTTCTTGGATTCCATAAATATATATTTGATCTAAAACCAAAATACGAAGGTTCCGTTAATTCAGCGAACAAATTTTCTTGGAACGGACCACTGGACAGCCCTGAGTGAAATACCAGCTGAAAATACCCTCCATTTCAAGCTGAAAGGGCAAAGCGTAACACCTAGGCTAATATTGGAGTTACTTCAAAAACTGAATTAGCTAGGCAAGCACAATGACGTGCGCTTAATTAGATGCCTGGTAATTCGGCAACGGAACCTCTGACCGTCTAGTTAACAGACGGTCCCGAGAGCCCCTGAACGTTTCTGCGGTGTATCAAGAAGCCAAATGAAAAGGCTGCTATTGCACTTGACACAAAAAAATTCGGATTGCCATTGGAAGAAATGTGCACGACAACAGCAAGCAAAAAGGTTAGAACTAACAATGAGTGATCGACGCTTGGTCAAAGACTTCTTCGCGTGTCATAATTCTGTTCTGCTATTCTCCTGAAAAGCTTCGGTATCTGCTATACCAACTCAAGCAGATACTACCGGACGTATCATCATATTCTATGTGAATGTGAAGCCATCTGCAGAATCAGACATCAATTGGTTGGCAAACAATAATAACCTCTGGTACTAAACAAGGTGGTGGGATCCATAAGAATCTAAAAACTCGAGGTCTGGCGGTATGGGCGAGTAAAATAGATCATTTAATAATCCTATTTTAAACACAAAATTCGATATGGGGCGCTCTTAGTATAAACTAAAAATCCTTATATATTGTTCCGCATTCCACGTTTATTTCAAGTTCAATGCACTAACCGAACAAAGCAAAGGCAAATCATGAAAGCTATACTTTTGTTTTGATTTCTCTTTCCTAATTGAAAAACGCAATTTCAAAAACTTTAAAATCAAATGTAGCGTCAACATTATGAAAGCGTCAAGGATCACAGCAACACAAGTATGGGTATTACTTCAGAAGCATCGGGCGTTGCAAATTGTTTTAAGCGACCTTCATTTTTACGCTTATTATCAAAATCAATTAAATATCGTGGAAGCTATGGAAGCTTAGCTGGAAATGGAAGAACGAATTTCGCTGATAAGATTACGCTCGATGCAGGCGTTCTAGAGGTTTGGTTTTACACGTCCTACACTAAGAAGTCAAAATTAAAAATTAATTTCTTACTTTGATGAAAAAAAAATAAATAAATAAAATCATTTCATTATGTCTTTGTTACAATCACAAACTGTTTGATGCAATATGAAGCGTCAGTTTTTAACTGTTACACTATATTTATCATAGATATTCATTGATGGTCCTTATGGTGCTCCATCTTCGCACATATTCATGGCCCAGCATGCTGTCCTTATAGGAACAGGTATTGGTGTCACTCCGTTTGCCTCTATCTTACAATCAATTATGCATCGCTATTGGAAGGCTCGACACACCTGCCCGCGTTGCAGTTTCGAATGGGCCAGTGATATACCGAAAAGCGTTATGAATCTTCGAAAGGTGGATTTCTTTTGGATAAATCGCGATCAACGTTCATTTGAATGGTTCGTTAATTTATTGTCACAATTGGAAATCGAACAAGCAGAACTGGGTGGTGCTATGGAACGGTATGTATTATAACATATAAAATAATTATGTTATTTTAACTGAGTTTATTATGATTTTAAGATTCCTGGACATGCATATGTATATAACAAGTGCCTTACAAAGAACTGACATGAAAGCCGTGGGCTTGCAACTAGCTTTGGATTTACTGCATGAGAAGGTTTTAACTCTTCTAACAATAGGAATTAATTCACTTTCGCTTATATTCGTATTCGTTTCAGGGTAAACGCGATTTAATAACAGGACTTAAAACCCGAACAAACGCTGGCCGACCCAATTGGGATAAAGTTTTTAAGCAACTAAAAGCTCAAAAAAAAGGCAAAATAACCATTTTCTATTGCGGGCCACCACAATTAGCCAAAACACTGCGCTATAAATGTGACGAATATGGCTTTGCATTCCGTAAAGAATGCTTTTAAATATTTTGCGTTATTATTTCGCTTAAGTGACTTGTAAATTTTTGTAAAGTTCAAGCTATTGGGTTATAATTAATATAATATAACAAATAAATTAAATAATAACTGAAATCTGCTTCTTTTCGTGTCATGTTTGAAATGCAAATTATTACTAACTTACGAAAATGATATATGTAATGCTATTGGTGATCCCATCGGTTCCCATGATTAAAGGGAAGGGTTTCACGATAATAAACAAATTTCGCAACTCTGCCTTAAAAGAAATTTGAAAGAGACTCTCTACTAAGCGTGAGAGATTCCCATTTCGGTGGAGTCGTTAATAAAACAAAGTGAAATAAGTAAGAAAATTAAATTCGGTTACTTCCGAATCTTTCATAGCTGTCATCATTATACTATAAGAGATTGAAAAAAAAAACAAAAGTATAAATTAGCATACTCCATAATATTGAGTGAGTTTTTTATTTTAATAAAATAATTTTGTGAAAATTTATGTCGTGTCTCTGTTGTAGCAATGAACAAAAGGCAAGCAGAGCAAAAGTATTCTCACTTTTGTTTGTATAGACCTGCGGACATTGCAAGCGCGCTCTTTGGCCTGTTTGGGCAATTTTCAAATTCCTTTGGAAATTTTTAGGCGATATATTCATTTTTGCGAAGGGAGAATATTTACCACACGTGTGTGTGATTCGAGTTTGTGACTTGCCAAAAACTTTACTTTAGGATGTTTCCGAAGCTTCCTTCTGTGCGTTGTAAAGCTATTGAAAAACAAAATTAAATTTTTATATACTATAATATTGGGTAGGCATGGTTAATATTTCCCCTTTATGTAGAACAGCATCACTCACAGATGTTACATTTATATATTTGTAGATTTTTCTGCTATACGTTATGAGTAATAAGTAAAAAAAAAGCTTCTTATTCGTTTTGAAAAACAAAAATGTTTTCATTTTACAAATTGCTATAAGCAAATTGTCTTTCACCGACTTATCCCATGTTCAACACCAATTCTTGCGAAGAACTTTCAATGTTTTTGACAAGTTTCATGTCGATAGCTTAATTTTTGCGGCCTGGAGAATGTTTACATAGACGGACAGACGGACTTGCTCAAATCAATTAAGAATTTGATGCTGATTAAGAATGTAATACTTCGTTGAGTCTCTGAGGATTCCTACTGGACATTGCGAACGTTTCGACAGAATGAATGTACCCCTCAACCCTGGATGATGGGCTTTCAAGTAATAGTATCAGCAATATAACTTTCTAACCATTCCTTATCACAGCACCACTTTATGAAAGTTTTGAATTATTTATTCAAAACTTATGCGCACTGAGCGCTACACTAATATACACCCACACCAACAAAGTTAGACCCATCACTTATTACAACGACCGATTCAAAATCATTTTCTGAACTGATTCAAGTATATTCTTCGCTCTGCCCGCCTGTTGTCTTTCTATATATGGGCAATTTTCGACACGCTTTGTCCCAAAGACGAACCCTATCGAAAATAGGTTGAACCATTGACACCATTTTTACAACCACTCCCCACATAATGCCTTATTTCAACAAAATTATTATAGGAAAAGAATTGAAATTTTCAAAGTTCCTCCATAATAGTAATAGCTGAGTGATAGACTTTCGGCGCAATAAACTGATATAAATTTGCATCGATTGAGACGATGTTTCGAACCGGTCTTATGTAACAGTTATTATAGAATTGACACAAAATTGTGGTTCGACATAAAAATTAACTGTATCCAATGTGTTTATTTTTTGTGCCCCACTACGCATGTAGGTTCTCATGAAAAACAAGCATTTATATGACAAGATTTCTTTTTTTACAAATAATATTGATCCATAAGGTCAAATTGACATAGAAATTAGCGGTACCAAATTTGGATAATGAAAAGTAAGCCCTTACGTGGCAGCGGCATATAATTTTTACTACTTTATGAAGAAACTAGATAAGGAATAATAAGATCCATGCTTCGGCAGGCTTTTCTATGAGCCCAATACCTCTAAATCGAAACAACGTATTTTTGGTATTTTAGCACGCAAATTAGATTCGTGTTAGGCGATGTGGTGTATTTAAAGGTCGAGCTTGCCTGACTACAATATTTTTAATTGCTTTTATTTTGTTTTTTTTTTACAATAAACATTAATTTCTATTTTAGTAAATTCAATTAATACTAAATTGTACATATGCAACTCGAACTTATAAATTAAACTTATAGATTATTTAGCTCCATTTTCGTTATTACATATACAATCTTGTATACCGTAACATTTAAGTAAATACGTATAAGTAAAAAAATGTTTAATGCTAAACTGGAAAGATGGTTAAAATTTACTTAAAATCCCTTTTCCAAGTCGCAAAATTTGTAGGTGGTGTCGGTTGAGGTTTCCGTTGAATAGTAATAATTTCATCCTTCAAGTTACCCACATTGTAAAAATCTCTTAATTCAACGATAGCTTGTTCCTCGATCTGCGTAAGAACCAAGGATTTGTGACGCATACGTTCATAATATATACGCTGACGTTTTTCTTCAATTAATATTTGAGAAAAACTGTTAGCAGCTTCATTCACTTTCGAGTTGACTCGTGTCATATTGGCAAATGAAGTGGGATCCTTCAAACTACCGGTTGCAGGTGGCGATTTTATCGTTTCCTTCTCCTCAGATAAGGAAGTTGAAGGTGAATGAGGCATCGTTCCCCAAGCATTTGGTTGAGTGACTGCAGTTGTAGGCTTCGATTCTGTCTGCTGGTTTGTAGAACGCCACGAACAAGACGAATTCTGTACGCTTTCTGAAAATAAACGTTTGCGTTGTTTTTGGGAGAGTTTTTCTCTTGGAGAAGTTGCCAAGACAGCCAAATTAATATTATAAAGTTTTGAGCTATTTAAAATTTTTTCAGGAGTATTGAATGATGAAGAAATTGAATCACTATTTGAATCGGTCTGAAGTTTTACGAAGTCTCTTTTCAATGTATCCTCTTTTTTTAAAATCTCATTAGCCTTCAAAGTTTGTTCTAAGATTGATTTTTTCTTCAGCTCCTTTTTATCCGCAACTTTCATCCAATTTACTGGATCGCTGGATAATGCCTGTACATCTGCCTCAACTTTTTTAACAGAACTCTTTTCTGATTCTCTGGCTGATTCATTCAGTTGTAACGATTTCATCATCGTTGAGATAGCCTCCCGTTCGTATTGGCGTGCAGTTTGTTTACATTGTTTATCTTTAGATTTTTGTTCCAGCAACATTTGTATCATAGTTCGCTAAAATTTGAAACAGAAGGAAAAAGACAAACAACTCACTTCGCTTTAATTCCAATAAAAATTAGAACTATAAAAATTATAAAAACCAACCTCTTGCCCATCCATTCTATAATTCAAATCAACTTGAAAATCCTCTACAAAACTCAATAGCCACGCTTCATCTATTGCTTCGGAGTCCGGTGTAATCACCCGATAGTCAAAGACTTTCTTAAACATATTGCGATAATGTCCATTAATCCACTTGAGCGATGCTGGTTCACAGTTATGTAAACTCTTCTGCAATAAAACCCTCGACATATTTTGACATATGAAATCCATACAGCCTTCCTTCAGCACGTCACAATTATACATGCAAGCAAAATCTAACATTTCACCACATTTTCTGATAGAAATCTTCTCCAATAACAAAATTTCACATACTTCGCGTAAATTTTCAATAAAGTATTGATCACAAAATACAATCATGTTATAAAGAAAAGTTTCGCGATACTGCTCTCGACGAAAGTGTTCCGCATCCAAACTGTACAAAAAGTCAATAATAGCCTCCATATATTCATAAGGCACTGTGCTGAGTTGTATTGTATTCTGTTCTGCCCAAGTATGGGTAAACATCATTTCAAAAAATTCCAAACGCGCAACAAGCACGCATTTGTGAGCCAGTATTTCACCGCTGTTTTCGCAAACTATACTGATATCATGAAGTTCCGGAAAGTCCGTTCGACGCAAACGATTGAAACGGTATTTGGATTTGATATCAGGTCCAAAGTATTCTTCTTTATTAAAACTAAAAAAGGACAATGTAAAAAGGACACAAATAGAAAAAATATCTTCTGCATACACTGGCATCAAGTTTCTTCGTGATCGGGTATCTGAAAATTAATCTAATGTAGTTATGATGACTAGGGAAAATAGATTTTCAAGCTATGTCACTTTCAGAATGGAAGACTCTCTTCAATGTTATTCGAAGTATTGACAGCTTAGGCAATTATTAGGTGAAAATAATAATAAAGGACTAGATTTGGTTGGTAATGCTTGCTGAACGTTACGTTGAATACGTTCATTCGCAAGGAGACATCTAGACATGGTGTGGTTTATTGTAGGATTCTCTTAGCAAACTCTGTAGGAAACTATTTCGACTCTACTGGAGGGTCTCGACAATGTAATCAAACTAAGTTCTCGTTGAGCAAGAAACACAAATCTCGTTGCTTGCCCATTTCGCCAGCTTGTCCGAAGCATTTCCAAAGAGACCAATGCGACCGGGAATTCGCAACAAGGTTATATTTTTTACATAAGCGATGAAATTTCTTCTCTTTTTAATATTGTAAAGATCAAAAAAGTTTAATAGAACTTTTTCACATATCATGCCGCTATCAGCGAGGGTCAAATCATCGTCCTATTCCAGAGATTGGCCTTTCTTGACAAATTTAGCTACATTCACAGTTCTAGTAAAAGACAATATGCGAGACTTTCAGGATATTTCAAGTCCTTTTGTAATTAACGAACAGAGATCACAGCCAAAGTTAATTGAAGCTACTTGTGTTCTTTGTAATCCTTTCAGAACAGAACGTACCTTTTTAAATATTTTGCAAAATTATTTAGTTGAAACAGCTGCACAAAATTGATTAACAAAGTAAGAGTGTCTGTCAAATTATCAGGCCGTTCATTAGGATTCAGACTATTCTGAATATCCTCAAGATCCAACATTAAAACTTTAAGAAAATAATTGATAGTTTGTAAATTATTTTTTTGCTCGCACTTACATCGCACTTACCTTCTCTACTTGGCATGTAATTATTGTAAGCGAATTTCATTATGATTTCGAACATTTTGGCAGTAAGCTGCGGAAAATTTAGATAAATTTCTTTGTTTCCATTTTTTGAAATAATTGCTTTTAAGCCGGGTGCTCGTGCATATATTATAAACTTATGTGCGGGAAACTTATCTCCATCTACATGAAATACAATATCGTGAACGCTGTCATATTCGGAAATCCCATTGTAAAGTTTCTTAAATGTGTATTCCTCTTGTTTTAGAGTTGGTAATTTGAAATATTTCATATGAGATTCTTGTAGTACAGCAAATGAGGCGAAATCGTCATCGCAAAATATATCAACAACACGATCAATATTGGCTACAGGCTGCAAATCAATTCGTATCATAAACTCCTTAGACATTTCTGCAGAACGATGATCATTTCGATTCCAAATATTCGCTAAATCTTTATGATTTCTGACTACGTCTTCATTGTAATATGAAGGCATGGACACTTGTTGGCATTTGCCCTTATAAACATTACCTTGAGACATGATCAATACTTGATTGGCTTTATATAAAATTTTGTCAATTTGAGACAACCGAAAATTAGAAAATGTGCATCTAAATCATATATATAACAAAATATGAAATACTTGAAAGACAAATCAAGGAACAAAAAAGGACCAAAGACCTGTAAAAGTTTTGCGTTAGCTGATACCATAGGAAGACTACGTTAGTTTGGGTGAGCAATAACAACTTCAAAGCACCCACTGATCCCCGATCGCCCTGTATTACCGAAATGCTTTTCAACGATTCATAACTAAAATAAAATCATAAAGTTTATGAACAAATCGTTTGTCTCTTTTTTTGCCATATTCAGTACTTACTTAGGTGCTTTAATAGTTTTCATTTTATAATTGTGAAACAATAAGATCAGATTGTCTTCAGTTAAGACTACAGTGGCGGCATTGTTAGCATCAACTTGGTGTATATTGGTTTTTGGTGGTAATTTCATCTTTGATTAAAATTGTAATAAAAAGATAAATAATTATGTTTTCAAAAACACCGTACACGTTACACGTTACCATCTTAGGCAGTGGTATAATTTTAGTGTTCGCATCAAATCCCATTTGACCCACGTTAGTTCCCCAAGTGTATAAACTGTGTAAAGAATAAGCCAATGAATGACTATCGCAAGCTATAACTTTAATCAGGCCTTTAACACTGTTATCTCTTAGCGTTATGACTTCTTTGAAATTTGACAACTTATTGCCGGCATCTTTAACGCCCAACTGCTGTTCATCGTTGAGACCACAGGCAAACACCAGTGAATAATTAGTTAAAATTAATGAATGCCTGCGTGACGTACTGATACAAATCACTTCCTCATTAGAGTTTTTTAAAGATAGTTTAACCTTTTTCGGAGTAGTTAAGCTATTTTCATTGCCAGTCCCTAATGAGAGAAAAACAAAAATCACAAAATTTTGTTCCAGCTGTAGCTATGCAAAATACAAAAACAAGTGCGAAATTTCTTAAAGTAAAAGCTCGATATTACAAGATCTGTATCACAGGTCAACAAGAGTTTGTAAAGCATAGAAAGGCGCATGCGAGACCTCACAGCATATACATGTGAAAAGCTCAATCTATTTAACTACGCCTCTTCTCTGTGTTGGCAATATTTTTATTTCATTCAATATTTAAGAATATCACGATGGAAAATTGGTTTCAGTGCTTGGACTCCTCGTTGGCCATGACTGGCGTCCCACAAGCTGCTATGAATAACGAAAAAGAAGGTATCAACTGGTGTGAAATAAAAACTCTATGTTACAGTGCGCATGCAACCTCAAAATTTCGATAGATGAGGTTTGAAATTTGAATATCTAGAGATTTTTGAAAAAAAAAAAAAAAAAGAGTTATAAAATCTACAAAAGACATGGTTTACAATATTGGCCTCAAACTGAATATAACTTTTTACTTATTTTCTTAATGATGTGTGTTACGAAGATAATCTTCAAATATTTATAAGAATGAGAGAGCGAGCGGATAAGTGTTTGACTTTTCTGTAGCATAATAAATAAACAAAAAACTATGATATATAAATCTTATTGATAATAGTAATAAAAAAACATACCTAACCTGCCGCCTTTGCCATGACCTACTGTATATACCTGGCCTTTTTTATCCAGGAATAAACTGTGATAAGCTCCTAAAGCGACTGACATCAAGCAAATATGTTCTCTACGAAAGTATTCCAGCATTTGCGGTAATGGTTCAGCGCCCTGATCATTATTTACTCCTAAGTTATAGTTTTTATTTGAACCCCATACCAACAGGTCATTGCAATGTCTGCATATGAAAGCAAAATTTGTTCAGCATAAAGAAATGCGATTTCCCTAAAAGCTTGCTTTAAACTTACATATTTTCACTGGAAGAGAAATCAGCCAAATGACACACTTGTTGTAGTGGCGATCTAGTGTCGACATCTAATAATTCCCAGCTGGCACCGTAACGTAATAATAAAACGGCACAATCAATACAGCCGTAGAAAATAGCACGATGCAGTGGTGTACTACCTGATTCAAAGTCGCGGCCACTTATAATTGAACCCTAAGGGAAAGCAAGGCATTAAAATTTCCCTTTTGACAATGTAATCAGTTGCAGCCTTAACTAACCTGATTGAGAAGCCATTCCAATATTGTGTAACGATCCACAGAGGCTGCAATATGTACTGCGGAGCGACCCTAGAAATAACTTAATGCATTAAATCATATAACTTATTATTACGGACAAACTTACTAAATCATCCACAATATCAGCAAAATTGCAACAAGTTTTGGCCACATATGCAGCCAACTTTTCATCCTCAATAGAACGTTTCGTTAACGCCATCGTTATTTGATTACCGTGTAACCGAAAGTGACACTTGGATGTACAGTCATACTCGTAATTCTTAATATCAAACATAGCGCACAATTAGAAATTAATCTTCAGCGGTTATAAATGGATTTTATTTGGAATAAATAATAAAATAAATGAAACTACCGCATCACCAGTTAGATATGAAAAGCAATCAATAAATCTATCGATGTAGGTGAATAAATCGAAAAATTATCGTTAGTGCTTAGATAGGTTTGAAGAGTGACAATCAATTTAAAACGCTCTGAAAGAAATTGACTAAATGCTATGGATGCTCAATTGGAAGCTGAACTTGAGAATGCCCGACAATCCTTATTCGACACCTACAATATCGCTTTAACTTATGGAGACGCTGGTAAGTAAACTAAACGTTTCTTTGCTGATTACATTCAATGGAAACGCCGCCACAATTATTTCTAGATACTCAGGAAGACCAGAGACTTTTGGGTTTGGTTGCCAGAATGTGCGATATTAAAAATGATGCGATTCGCCACGCCGCAGCTTTAGAAGTTGCCAAAGACTCTCGTACTTTAGCAGAATTTGAAGAAAAATACAGAATAGCTTTAGAAGAGCAAGATCAACCTTTTAATCCTAAAAAAACTGCAGATTATAAAAATTTTAACGCAAGTTTGGCTCGAATGCACGAAGAATATTCCACCAACGCTAACGATGCGTCGACTAGTGATGATATGATGATAGAAGAACAAATTTGCATAAAAGATCCTTTAACAAAGTTGACCATGCGAAATCCAGTAAAAAATAGGAAATGCGGTCACCATTATGAGAAGAGTTCTATTATAAATCATATTAATGGCGGAGGACAGCGATGCCCAGTAGTTGGTTGTGCTAATAAAAGTTATATTACTAGTGCTGACTTAGTAGACGACCCTCTTTTCAAAATTCATTTACAAAACATAATTGAAGATCAAAACTAAATGTAATTTTCTAATCTAATTTATTAATAAATATAGATGTATACATTTGTATGTTTAAAATCTTTCATTCATTCAAAATTTCATTCATTATCAATCAGCTTGGGAAATATTTTGCGATGCACTAATTAAAGTATCACGAATATCCTTGGCCGACTGTATATGTACACGCACTGTATTTAAATAAGTAGGATAAGGCATAGGACCTGCTGGATTATCTTGCATATACGATTCCGTACGTAATGCCGTTACAGCTCCCGGCAAATAGTATTGGGCTGAAGATAATTGCTGCATACACTGCATAGCGGTTTTTAGGTGCAATTCGATTTGATCACAATACGCATAGAATTCTTCTAAGTGCTTATCAAAACGCGTTGCGTTAATCAGTGGATCCCGCTTTAGACTATCCGCCGAATTATTCTGCTGCAAAGTATATGCCGCTCCTCTGAACGTGTTCAGTAATGACTCTTTCATTGGAGCAAAAAGGCTTTTCACTTTCGATATATTGTCAATTTTTTCACTTTGCTGCTGAACTGCTGGATTCTGAGACATCTGTCCGGTCATTTGCTGGCCAGATTGTTGCGGCGAAGATTGCATAAGCGGCGACACTCCTGATTGCATCATTGAATTTGAGGGACCAACACCCGAACCGGCAATGTTACTAACACCACCCATTTGTGGCATGGAATGCATACTCATATTTGGGTTCATTGCAAAATTTCAAATCAGTTAACTTCTTCTGGTATAGGGTAAGTATGGCCTATGGAATCGGCAAGAAAAACGTAATAAACTTAAATTTTCCTTAATCAATATCTTTAAAGCTGACGTTTGAGTGAAATATAAACAGTAGCCAAAAAATCTCTGACGAACCACTTTTTGCTGTAAGCGCAAACACAATGATTGCATTTCGCATTTTATATAATGCTTCAAAATAAGGCGGACAACACAATGCTTAAACGCAACGTATAACGTAAAATCGGTCAACACGTAGCTTACATTGTTAACCAAAATCTTATGGCTATCGTTGGTTTCTTTGCATAAACGGTAATGAAGTGCAGAATTAGTAAAGCGAAAAAAATATTTGTCTAGTTTGTACTTTAATGGTAAATGACCGCTTTAAAACCATATGAAACATTGAAAGGTGAACCATATGATTTCGTCTCATAAATACATCACTGTTGTACCCGTCAAAAATATTGTACTCGGAAATTTTAAATATTTGCAAAAATTTGCAATCATGTACAACGCGTATCGCAAGCGGATTTCGCTTAAATTTTTAGCGTGTATACGTCTAATTGAATATATAGCTTTGCATATTGCACCGATGCGAACTTTTGGCAAGATTTATGAGAATAAAATAAGTATAGTAAATATTTGGAGTTTTAAAGCGATAACTTGCATTTCTGTTTAAAAAACGGTAAAGTTTTATAAGGAAAAAAACTTTTTGCGATTTATTATGGATATTTTGCTTCAAAAATTATTTTTTCAAGTAATCCTTCGCTTTATTATTCTATGCATACGATCAGTTGATCGTTTTAACATATGATTTTGTTGTAGTAATGCAACGAAAGCTATGTGTTTAACTACACAAAGGGTGTAGTGGATTTTTAACGACTTCCTATTCGCATTTAGATTAAAAAATGGAGATGGAGAGAATTCTTTTGATACCTTTAAAAAAACTCGAAAAAGCATAAATTCGCAAAAACAATATTTGAAGAAAGAACTTTTGGAAATGATTGAAGCAAAAAGGCTGATAAAAAAATGATAACTGATATAATTAGTTTAAATTCCCTCACAAATGTAGAGGAATACATTTCTTAAGTGAAATTTTGCGATTAATAAATTTAAATAATACTTACCACGGATTCTAGCTTGTAGTTTAAGCGGGACACATTTCCCAAAAATATAGTCATTATTTCCAACTCTAAGTTTAATTCAAAATTACTAAGAGTAAATTTAAAGAGAAAGTAATTAAAAAAAAAATAAATACAGTTTATAATAAACGCAAGCGACAATTTGGTGCTCCGCATTGGCAATATAAAACTTTGCCGGGTACCACGCCAACTTCATAATTATAATTCCAAGTCAGTTCAGTGCCGGCACGTATATGGCATGAGGCAAAAAATGCTACCCAAGGAAAACGTAGATCATGGGTATCGACGAAAACGTTTTGCACAAACAAATTCGGCGAACAAGAATGCTGAAATAAAACAAAAATAATTAGTCTGCTATTAAAATTTGTTACTAGTAACTCACATTGAAATATCGCCCTAAATTGCCAGTGATTTTAGCATCCATTACATAACAAGCTTCATCCTTACCGAAAAGTTTACGAATAGACCTAATGTAAAGGAATGTCGTATAAAACAGATCTGTTTTGTTATTGTTTAAGAGTCGCTTACGATTCCCTTCCGGAATCTTCATTGATATCGGCGTTCGGATTGAAACTAATCACTTGACGTTCTTGGAACTCATCTTCAAATTGTTGACTATTAGAACGCGCGTTTTTCATCTTAGCCTTAGAACGTGACATGTACGATTTGCTCGGCGTGAATTCGTCATCATCTTCTTGCTCGGGATTATACGGTTCCTTAAAATCGATAATAATAATGAGAAAATGGCTAAAAAGGAATACCCTTTATATAATATAAATCAAATATTTAACATTTTGATTACGTGGCGCTATTTTCAATCATTCATAAAATGTCTTGGCAAATATTCGAGATCGCCAATTATAGACAAATAAGTTTGAAAACTTTATTATGTTTTCGAGCTTGAGCCATTTTTACCAGTAATTAACGTTATGAACGAATCATGCCCATTTTCTTCATATTTCTTTTTTATTTTTAATTTAGATAAAATTTTGGTTTAGGTTCCGAAGTGAATAATCTGCATTAAGAAAATAGGATCATGGCCAGGAATTTAGATAAAATTGATATAAATCAGTCAAAAATCTTTTTTTTTATTTTGGATTTATAAATTGGAATGTACTCGTGATCCATTTACTAATTACAGATACTCGAGCAGATAACATGTGAGACAAATGAGAGCTTCACTTTATTTTCAACATCATAATGCAAATATCGCTTGGCCAGCGAGCAAAAAGTCTCCGACATTTCCAAAGGCGACACTTCACATTAGCAACTAGAAAGCTCTAAAAGATTTTCACGGTTTTCGTGTGTGTTATTTCGAATGAAATTTTTAGGATAACAAATAAATGCACAAACTTCCGACGAAAATCGAAATTTTTACTCGTTTCAGAATATATGTACCTTTTATGGGCATTTTTACACTTATAAAAGGATAATCGTGTGGTCCTCAATTCGGCGGGGAAATGACATCTGTGTAACATCCATGTATTTCAAACCCTCACCGAACTCTCTCTTCGCGTCATAGGAGAGCAAAGTTATACACCATCTAATGACTAATCATTCCTAGGTCAGACCATATCTTAAAATAATCCGAACAATCGACAATGATAAGCATATGCCGAATGACTGAATCTCATCTTCAAATGCAAAAATATTAATGACAATAGACAGACTTTTCGTTTTTTCGGTCCAACCTATATGATATCTCACATATGCTCACAATCCTGCACATCTCAAGGAACTAACTTTACCAAAAGTGTCGACCTTTCTTTCTAATATATCTTATTTTTATCTTCTTTGCCTCACTCAATCTTGCTCCTTCTTTGTCCGATTCTCTTGTTCCAGACTAACGATATTGAACTTGAACTTACGTACACAATATTTGCACATTCACAAATAATCTACACGTACTCTCTTGCTCCCCGATGATTTCTATTTCTGTTACGGGAGATACAGGCCTATAAATGAATTGCTTCCGTCCAAACGTTTTCAACATACCAAAAGAAGATAAAGGGATTCTGAAAACTATCAAACCCACTTTTTACCGTGAACATATCTATACCGAGGTAAAGCTCTGAATTACTTCTTTCCGCTTAGAATAAATACTTACTTCATCCTCCGGCTCTGGAGGCTCTACTTCAGATTCATAGCCTTCTTTGATTTGTTCCGCTACCTCAATATAATCCAATTCAGCAAAATATTCATCGCCTGCATCCAAACCTCCCTAAAATATTCATACGACATTAGCAATAAAAAGCGAGAACTTTAACAGTAGCATCTTTACCTCATTGGCTTTGGCTTCGGTAAGAAGATGCCCTGCATAGATGCAAACAAAACTTCCACGTGGTATATCATTAATGCAACGTAAACCCCAACCACGATTTGAAGTTTTAAATACTTGTAATTTCATCTGCAAAGAATGCTGAACTACACGGTTCAAGCAATTTGATTTACACTTGCAGCGAGCATTGCATTCGTATATGCCAGTTGGTACATGTTCGAGCAACCTTTTATATTGGTAGCCCACTTGATTACTTGGCGTATTCGCATTACCGTACTTAGCACCAGCCAATGTCAACTGCCAACAAGAACACCTGGATTTATCCTTCAACGATTTCAGAAAAAAAAGTTCACAAAAATCTGGGAAAAACCGTATATGCTATTACCGAGCAATCATCGTCACAATCGCAACCCACAAGAAAATCTTTCTCAGTATTAATATGTACACCCTCGGTGGGTATAACTTTAGCTGAGTATTTGCATTCTGGTGGTAAAGTGTTATCATAATAGTTTACCAACGGTATAGCCATCTTTTCTTGACCCCCTGAAATGTCACGCTTTTGAACAATAGCACTCTCAATGACATACTCTGCCAAGCAATTTGTTTCATGACTAAAATCAAAATTGTCTACATTCAAAACGTTGTTAGTAAGACGTAAATAATGACGAAGTTCCTTCATATTGCGTAAAATTTTTCCACATGGAGCTCTATAAGCAATTGCCTTCTTGATCTTTTGCCGCAAAATAAAACGTTCCCAGCCTGAAAGCAATGGCTTCGATAGCGGACTGTAAGCACTCAAATTGTGAGTTATATCAATCAAGCAAGAAGGCGAGCAATTATGCACCACAAATTTCCGCGGTGGTAAGTTACGTTTGGCTGTGTAATAAACCACCTAAGCGGGAAAAGTAGAGTAATTTTAAAAAAATATACATTTAATAGGTGCCGGCAATATCGATATACCTTTCCTTTCGGCTTATTTTCATCTTCTACATAAATGGTGGAATTATTCAAATGCTTAACAGGCATTTGCGAAGCCGTCTGAGTTATTTGGCCTTGAACCGAACTAGTGATAGACTCGGGTCTACCGAAAGATTTACGGGCAACAGCTCGTGCTTTTTCCGTTTGCTGTTGAGCCGACGAGTCCTCATCTTGCGTATAACGTATAAATGGCTCGGTACGCTAAGATGGAATAGTTTTGAGAAAAGCCAAAAATATAAAAAGTGCAAAAATTAATACTTGCCCTTGGTAATCGGGATACAGGCACATTCGTGTGTTTTTGCAGTGACTTTTGATACTCTTTAAAAACCGGACCTAAACGTAAAGAGCCTCGATATATCCATTCGGTATGACTACGCGTACCTTCGAATTGCATCAACACTAAGCTACAGTCAATGTCAATAACGCGAGCATGTAACCAATATCCATTTGATTGGGTACTCATGGACTGGCCCTTCTGAGTCTGGACCATAGGGCGATTAATAGAATATTGTGTAAGATATTTTTGTATGAAATCTCTAGAAGTTGGATGTACATCCTCCCAAACGTTTTCAGACACTTGGCATACTAAGCGTACATCTTTATGATACACATATTGAGTGTAGCCGTCGTCGTAAAATATCAAGTAGCTAAAGACAAAAACAATAATGAGAGTGATGTCAACTTGATTAGACTTGTGCAAAGCCTCATAGAGAAGCCCTAATGGAAATAGTACATTAATTGAAGACTGAAGCTTTATATACTTTCTTTGCAACGGAAAACGGGACAGTTAAAATCGGAAGGATCGGAAGGTTGGAAAGGATCCGAAAATTTCCTTTTGTAAATTTTCTCCCCTAACTTTCTTATCGCTCTAATTGCATACTGCTATTATCGAGCAGATCAAAGTATACAGTCGTAGCGACTAAGCAATCGAAATGTCTTTCATTTAATACTTGCTCGGTAAAGATTTCTATGTACATTCAAGACTCCGAAGAAAAACTTACCGAAATTTATTATTTGGTTTCAAAGGTTCAGCAATTATACCAGGATAGAAAGCACTTTGCACAGTGGTAACCTTTTCTTTACCGCGAGTCAAAGAAGTAGCATCAAAGTAAGCAATAACACGAGCTCCTTCAATATACAATGAAAAATGAAATTCCGTAAACAATTTGGTAAGGTTAGTTAGGCTTTACCTGTAGGTAGCCTTACTGCTGGAGGTTCGTAGTAAGCCAAATGTTTAGCAGGGACAGTTTTCAACATTTGGTATTGTGATTTTAGGAATTTTATCTTATACTGCTTGGCATTTTTCTGGGATGGAATATTGCTATCTACTTGTTCGGTTACTTTGCATGGTACCCACCTAGCAATCGCATTATTTTTAACTGCGTAGTAAGTTCCGTTAAGTTGTATAGAAATACGTTCAACCTCGCCAACAGGTGGTATTTGCTAAGAGATATCCATGATTCTTTAAGTTTAATTTTTTTGAATGTTCCGCAAGAAAGTTACCTGAACTTCTGGTGCATCAACAACGCTGAATGGCAACCCGCTATTTAAGTCCAACGGTTGAAGTTGTCTTAGCTTAATTTTAGGGCATTGATATAGGGCTTCGTGCATTTTATCGGCTTTCTTCTGCAATAATCGCATGTCCTTTTCTATGCACGAACATTCCACTTCCAGGTGCTTCAAACGTTGGGTGAGTATAGTTTTCGACCAAGTCAGTTGACTTTGTATATCGATTTTATTTAAAACGTTTTTGATAGTCTTATCTAATTCATTTTCGATAAGAAAAAAATCGCTTTTGGAAAAGCTAGGCTTTGAATTTTCTTCCGCACTTTTAGCCGTCTCAGTGGTATCCTCTTCATCGCTGCTGTCAATAATTTCCACAAATTCTTGGCGACCCGTGGGTATGTCTTTTGTAAGTAAGGGATATTTAGCATTTAATAGACCAGAGAATTCCTAAAAAAACAGAAATTTACATTATTTTCGGTGCATAGCTTGTAGTGCAATGGAAAACGAATTTCTCATCAAACATTCAATTACCTCATACATGTCCAAAGACTTGTCATAGCACTCAACACATACGTATTGCGATTTGAATTTTTTTTTATTAACCTGAAAGTAACTAAGCGCCCACAAAGGAGCCTGCAGATATTGCTTGTGATCGTGCGGACATTCATAGTTAATGCATTCTTTGTTGTAAAAAACCTCACAGCTTCCATTATCACTTCCGTTAGCATCCGTTGATTGTGCTACAACCTCAACAAATTGCTTTTCTGCAGCTTTTTCCAGCAAGCTTTCGTTTGTTTTTCCATCAATTTCAGTAGTCACTTCCGGAGTCAATTCTTTCATCTCAACATCCTGGCGTTCAATTGCTTCTTCGGGTTTAGAAGTTTCCATGTTTGTTAGAGCGGAGATTTGCTTTTCTTGTACTGAAAGATATGGAGGTTTCTCTACTGGTTCATCATCGTCGTCTATTTCAATGATTGGCACAGCTGGACCTTCCACATGTAAAACATCCTCATCTTTTTCATCCATGTCCATTTCGTCTACTACTTTGTCTGCTCCGGAAAATGTCAATTCTTCTGCATTTTCCGCACTTTTCGTTTTATCTACACTGTTGGCATTTTGTTCCAATACCATTTCGATTTGTTCATTCGCGATCATTTCCGTTTCTTGCTGATCATTTTTATTATATTTATTTTCTTCTTCAATGGAAGTTTCGTCTATAATTAACTTTGTAGATTCTTGGCTGTCGCACGTTTCTAAATTTTCCATTAATTCTCTTTCCTTGAGTAATTCCGAGTCACTATAAATTTGTGGTTTCGAAGATATTAGATGATCTAAATTCAATTGAGCATTAGATTGCTTACATTCTTCGCTCATAAATTCTTTTGTTATTTTATCTAGTGATGGCTCGGTTTCTATTGCGGAAGAATAGTCGTCTTTTGAGAACTCTTTTCCAACAGAATCAAGAAATGATTGAACACTTTCTCCAAGTTCTTTAATTTCTGTCGCACTTTCCACTGCTGAATCTTTATTCATTTCCTTTTCTTCAAAAGCGTCTGAAACGTTTTGAATTTCAAGATTTTCTTTTGCTAATAATTCAGTTGATTTTGTTTCATTTGCGATTTCCAACGATGAAATTTTATTTTCTACGGGCTTTAATTTTTCATTCATTTGATTGTTTCCTACGTTTTCTAAAGTAATTCCACTCGTTCCACTCGTATCGCCAATAATTTTCTGTGGTTGCGATTTTATATCGTCTGCCATTTTATTAATAAATCTTTAATTGTTTTCTTATTTGTAAAAAAAGTATATTTGATCCTTTATTCCTCGAACGCGTCCATATTTCGGAATGTCTTGTGAAAAGGTTGCCTAACAAATGAAATTTTTAATTTCGACAGCTTAGTTTCTTTGCCACATTTCCTAAATATAATTGCTTAATTTTTTATCTCCACATCGACAATCTGTAACGGCTTCACTAATTATTATCGTTATTAAACGACTGATATTAAGGTTTGCTCCTCCAAATCGCAATGCCAAGCTATGTACGAAATGAGATGTAGCTGTCTCTTCAAGAGAGGACGGCTTGAATCCTTTTTTCTGATGCAGTTGCAGTACATCTTCCAACGCTATTTCATCAACTTCTTCACATACAACGCTATCATTTTCTAACTTTAGCAGCCTGCGTTGCCAAACTTATTAAACTCAATGTATAATTATTTTCAAACATATCACCGTCTGCGGGATTATCTAATAATTCATTCATTTGACTATAGTCTTCATAGCTTTCCTGCTTTTTCCAAATGTCTCCCAACATAAGGGCTAATATTTATCATGCGGCTTTCCGCACCATTGAGATGCCGTGATAGGCGTGTTGCCAATTGTTTTAAATAGGTGGCATCACTTATAGGCCTACGCTATCTTACGTAAAACCATAATAATATTTATAATAATATATATATAGAATAATAATAATACGATAAAAATAGTAATATAATAACAATAATAACTAAAACCCCGCACAAGTTATCGGATTTCTAGACATGTTTTTATATTACATTTACAAAACTTTTTAATAATCATACAATAATATGATAACAATGTATACATTTATATGTATATATAATGTATGCGTATATAATGTTGTATGTATACATAATATGATAATGTAATAATATAATATATATATATATAATATCTAATATAATAATATAATAATAATAACTAAAATCCCGCATAAGTTATTATTAGATTTTAAGACATGTTCATGCATCACATTTACAAAATATTTTAATAATAACACAATAATATAACACCAATGTCGCACAACTTCACAAATTTTAAAACCAAAAAAATTTATATAACCAACAATACTTTTTGAAATCGACTAAATGTCGACAACTTCCTTAAATCTGGTTTTTTTCGTGATAATGTCATAAAATGCACAATAGCACAATAATAACATATAAACATTCAATTCAATAAAATTTTTCAAACAATGCCGCTATTCCAATTATTTGTATAAATAATAAAAAATTATCTCACGTTTATGTTGAAGTCGCGTGAGAGCTGGAGGATAAAATTTTTTTAATTTTCTTGATGCGGCCAAAAAATTTTTATTTTTGGATATTATCAAAAAATCTATCAATTTTTTAACGAAAACTTCACTTTCCACTCTTCAATGTTTTTCTTATTTTTTAAAACTATTTTTGGTTTATAATGGAAGAATGGATAAGGCCTGTAAATTGAGAGGACTATGCACTCGTGGCGTTCAATGTAGAAATTTTTCTGGTGGTTCGCATTGTTAAACGATAAACGGGTATCGGTAGTCAATACATTGCTAGCAAATTCCGGGTAACTTTCTCAAAAGAATGCATTATGAGCTTAGGCCGTCTATTTGTGTAAGAGATATAGTAAGAGAAAAAGAGTTAAAAGGAAAAGTGAGTTGCTTTGATAAAGGTAGCCAGCTGCTTGAGATGTGTACAGTTGTTAGCACGAAAAATTTCATATAAGTATTATATATAAGTTAAAAAAGAAGAGAGGTTGTCTAAAGATGTTGACCCTTCTGCATTCAAAAATTAGATGCTCAGCTAACTCTACAATGTTGCATTCATCACAGATATCATATGGAATTGCCTTGATCACTTTTAAGTAGACGTTATCATATGCGTGATTGCCCATGAGTCTGTTGAGTGCTATATGTTTCTATAATATATAGCAGCTTTTGTAACTGCTAGAGATTTCATTACATCTGGAGACCATCCTTCCGAAAAAAGAAGGCTTAAAGATTCTTGCTTTCGAAAGTCCCTTATCAGTTAGCAGATAGGCCCTGTTTGAAACTAGAAGTTCGCCCGAAATGGACCTTAGACTGGCTACAGGCGCCGAGAAGGAGATATCAGTACAACGTCTTACAGGCGAGTCTTGAAAGGTTGTATTTTTTTAATTATGTAATCCGGAAAGTTACATGAAGCGCAGTATTCGTATTTTATTTTTGATCAGGTTTTCCACACAACATTTCCTTTGGGGAAAATGCACGTTGCAAATTGGTCAGGAATTTTATGACTTTTTTTTTCAAACTGACAGTTTTTAAAATTTTTCAGGTAGAGTTAGATTGGCATTAATAATCCTGGGAAGGTATTTGAAAGACGTTGTTTGATTAACCCTTGTAGCATTAATGTAGGTATTAATAATTTTCTATAAGATCCTTTTGCAAAGTGCATCACATAAGGTTCCTTTGGATTGAAAGACTTATTTAAATCGTAAGCCCTTCCTGCCGACACAACTGAAAAGTCATTTTCGTAGACATCTAGAGCGAGCATTATGACCTTTTTCCCATCAACTTTTTTACTTTTTTTCTAGAAATAGTGAAGGCAATCTCATTTTAACACGTATTTGTAAATATATGATTCTGGTAAGCGCAAGACCGAGCAGAAAAGAAGTTTCAAGTATCCAGAAACTTCATAAGTCTTTCCATAACCATCTGGTTTATAACCTTTACCAGCATAGACAAAAGAGATAAGGCTCTAAACTTCATAAAATCTTCAATATTTTTGCCAAACTTAAAGATGGGAACATTCTTAATTTGTCGCCAAGCATTTGGGAAGAAGCTGTTTGTTCAACATTTATTGAAGGCAGAAAGTAGTGCAGATAAACTCAAGACAGAAAATGCCTTTATTATATTTGACGCCATCATAGCCCGCAGCAGAGGACTTTCTTCTCGATTCAAGGACTTGCGAAAGTTCACCCAACGAGAAACCGTACACTTCGCCCGCAAAAGGTTAGAGAGAGGCAAAGACTATATATATATAGACTATAGTTGCCTGTGAGCTCCCGATTTTTAAGCAAGTTTAGATAAAGTTTGTTGTTAGCATCATTTCATATTGGGTACTTATATGAATATGATGACTATTCTCTAGATGAATTTGACAAAGATAAATCTAAAGCGCTACCAGTCAAGGAAGCGTCATTAGAGTGAAGGAAGGTTGGCATGGTTTTGTTAAGACAAAAGACACTACTAAAACTCATGATGTCAAAGAGGGCTTTGCCCCTGGTCGAAATTGTGTCGCCAAACTGAGAATGTCTCTAGTTAAAATCACCAGCAAGAACTATGATTTGAAAGCCTTCAGGGAAGCCACAAAGTCGTTGCCTTTCATACAAATTTGCGTAGGCATGTTTGGTTTCAAGTAAAAGCGTGTCATCATACGATTGGGCCTGGGAGATGACGTTTTGAGAATGGCTATGACTATGGAAGAATAATACGGAGTTTGCTTAAAAATGTCTCCTTTTTTAATGAGGGTAGCCACACCTCCGTATCCATCGACCTTGCATTTATGCACCGAATGGTTTGCGACTTTCAAATCAGACAGGTCGGATAAGAAAATCTCACAATGCATGGCAAAGTCAACATTATTAGAGTTAAGAAAAAAAATCGAGAGAGTTTGAATTGCGTCTAAAACTTTGAATGTTGTATTGTAAGAAGGATATCATTTGGACTCAAAGGAAGGAACCAAATTCGAATTAGACCCACCTTGTCAAAACACATCATAGGTTGATTTAATGGCGAACATTTTAGCAAGAAGATTCTTAAGGTTTTCTTCATTGAGGCCTGAAGAGATATTATTGAATATTTTGTTCAGAAGTTTCTTCATCTCAGTGGATTTATAATTGTTGTAGAGGATTGTAGGTTTAGCAAGAATAGTTGTCTGACCTATTGGACTACAAGCTAGTGTGAGAGTAATGGTTTGTCGTTTTGGAATGTTACCTTGTTTGGGTTGAGGGAGATCTGATTTTTGTCTGGCTACGTAATTGAATGTCTTTTTGGTTAGGATTTTGTACTTCTTAGTGTTGCCTAAAGTCGGATTGTCATTTAAGGGTGGAAAGTTTTCCCCATAATCAAGAAATACAAGCCAGTGTGAGCATATTGGTTTGTCGTATTGGAATGTGGGCTTGTTTGGGTTGAGAGAGGTATGATTTTTGTATGGCTACGTAATTGAATTTCTTTTTGGTTAGGATTTTGTACTTCTTAGTGTTGCCTAAAGTTGGATTGTCATTTAAGGTTGGAAAGTTTTCCTCATAATCAATGATAAGATTCTTAAAAAAAATTTACAGAATACTTCTCTTTGCACTCGTGAAAGGAGATGTTTCGAATGCCCCTTAATTTCTTCTTCTCTTTTCTTTGGTTTATAGAAACCCGGCAAGCGAGATTTACCACAACTGAGATAGCGGGTTTCTTTGCTCTTGCAGAATTTGCCGATGTCACCAAATCTGCCACATTTGAAATATAACTTAAAAGATGTATGAAATAATCCACTGGGAGACTACAGAAATGAAATTGAATAGTTTTCGAGATTTCTTTTACCTTAAAATTATTTTTAATTCTATTGGTAGCGATGAAATTTTTGGCGTTTTATTTTTATTTTGTTATTTTTAGTATCGGAGGATATTTCAGGTTTGAACTCTGCATTTTTCATGATGTCGTTTTCTTTCATTAATATTGGAATATTCTCAATAATTGCAAATTTCTCGGTGAATTTCCTAGAGATACATACTTTTGCACATTCGGAGGAGAGGTTATTATTCTTTAAAAAGTTATTTGCATTCCGAGCGTTGTCAAAAAGAAGTTACCCTTTCCATTGCAATTGTCATGAGATGATTAAGTTCGCGCAGGTCGAAAATCTTAATATATTCGTTGACCGTCCTCGTTTTCATATATTTCAATAAACAACTAAAATTCACCTGACGCGTTTCTGTCAAAGTGGTTCAGCTACTCAGGAAGGAGCGCTTGATTTATTTGAGGCCAGACTACAGTCAACATTACGAAGAGCGGGAGGGGTTCCATTGTCATAATTACGGTACAAACATTATTATAATTACTGCGGAGATACACTGCCGTTTGTTTGTTGGTCTTGCAACAGAATTGTCAACATTCACAGACATGGCTTCATCAGGAGATTCAGAAGAGTGACTTTGGGCAAGGGTTTTTTCTTTGCATTATTTGGCATTTCATTTCCAACTGCCTCAGTCCCTGACGGAGGAGGCAACTTTTGATCTTCGTGCTAGCTTAAACACTAGAAAACTGTTAGCCAAAGAACCAATAGAGAGGATGACGTCAGAAAGATTCGATCAAACCGACAAAAACAGAGAGAAGTTTTGTGAGTTCAGACGATCGAAATTAAACATTTATCAGCCGGCACTTGGTGTCCTAGGTAACGAAAATAGCCAAAGTGGTGCAGCAGTTAGTGCATCACTGCGTGCAAAGTAGTGTCAAGCTAATGGAATTCTTCTTGATTTATTTTATTTGTAATTATTAAAAGTTAAAACTGGATCAGAAAGATCAGCTGCTGTAATAGCTTAAAAGATTTGCAAAAGATTTCAAAAAATTTATTTATAAAAAAAATTAGAAATCTAAACAAAAACCTTGAAACTCAGGCAGCGTTGCGGAATAATAAAAGTCGACCATTTCCATTTCTTTGTCTTTTTTCTTCCTGATACTGTCATAAAAGACACAATAACACATAGCAACACATAAATATTCAACTCATTCAAATTTTTCAAACAGTGCCACTATTCCAATTCTTCGTATAAAAAATTAAAAAACTTGACTCACGTTTATGTTGAAGTCATCATCAAATTTTTTTACTTTTCTTGATGCAATCAAAAAATGTTTCTTTTTATTTTTTGGGTTTTATCACAAAATTCTTCAATTTTTTTTACAAAAATTCCACTTTTCGCTCTTCAATTTTCTTTCCCATTTTTTTTATCTTCTTTAAAAAAACTTTTAACTTTTTATTTTGCAATATTCAGCGACAATTAGTTACTTCACAAGCTTACACTTTCAAAAATTTTTTTCTATTTACACATAAAAAATGGAAATGATTCGTGTTCATCTAAATGAAGCTGAATGAGATTATTATTATTATTATTTTAATTTTAGACTAATGAAATGAATTCTTAGACTAAAAAAAAGACATTGAGCACTAGCAACACAGGCTATCGGCTCTAATTAAAAAAAGAATAATAAAATGTACATTAGATAATGACCTTAGTAGTATTAATAAAGTAATGTATAGAATTGATATTCCATTCTGAAGCTGAGTGTAGAATGTTCAAAGGGTTAATCGTTCCAAATGCGATACTTCTAGCCAAGGAAAAGTTGAGGCAGTCGCAGAGAATGTGCTTTATAGTAAGAGTTTGTCCACAACAGCAGATTGGGGAAGAAGACTTCTTCAGGATCCATTGGTGAGTTGCAATTGTATGACCAAGGCGAATTCTCGAGAATGTTTGGATCTTGGTTTTCTCAACATTTGTTGGATAGAGAGGAGGAGTTAATTGAGAGTTAACGCAAGAGTAGTGTTGATGTTGGTATTGTAAATTTCCTTCTGCAATTTTCTCTTTAACTTTTCTTCCAATCTATCTTTGAAGATCCAACTTTTCCATGACATCATCCATAATTAGAGGAGCAGAAGCAGCATACTTTGCCGCTCGATCAGCCTGCTCATTTCCCAGTTGATGGTGCTCCATCTCGAAGTCGAAGGGTTCTGAATAGCTTGTAATACAGACAAACTGTCGGTAACAATGACAGTTTCGAGTTTGTTTTTATGGGCAAGGTTGGCAGCGTGAAGGATAGCTCTGGCTTCGGGTATGAAAGTTGAAGTACTTTCGTGAAATATGTGGTTGAGAAGAACCCGTCCCGTAGCATCTACCACCGCACTAGCAGGAGGCAGACCAGGAGATTTTGAGCCGTCTGTGTACAAAAGATTCCAACCAATTAAATTAAAACTATACAATTTAAGAAAAAAAATTTCGAAGACCCCAAAGACGGAGAAGGAAGGTGCTGGAGGAGTTGACTCGTTCCCGGCGCTTGCGAGAAGCAAAATTCTGGCACAGAAGGCGCACCCGTTACTATTGCGTTGACATTCACGGCAACATTGGTGCCAAAGCTGAATAATGAAATCTCAGGCTCAGGCCTGGTTGATCCTTTTCCTTATTAAGATCTCAACGTAAAAGTCGTAAGCTCCCCAAATTGAATAAGAAATTTTCTCATAATTTCCAAAAAATTTACTTAACGCCGAGTATATAAATATGGTTTTTAGTTTGTATATCGAACGATATCAAGCGAGTGGGTCTCATTCTATAAGAATGTTTTTTCCAACAAACCACTTAATTATATATTGTCACATCCAACTTTCGCTTAAGCCCAATAACCTTCACGACACTTCTGTTAAATGAGAAATTGAGGACGATTCAGTTAGTGTGAAAATTTGCATTATCAGTTGGTTTTTATTGGACATTAAGTTGGATTGCTTTAAATCGAGCCTCACCCAAGTGTACAAAATTAATCCCAAATTCCAAAATGCAATTAAACACTTCAAAAACCTTATTTTCTTATAAAAAAATGTATTACTCTCTACATTTTATTTTAGGGGTATTTCTGTAATAAAGTAAAAGTTGTAGTAATAGAATTTGAATCGAATTAACCTTAGTTCCATTATCGCATACGATATCACGTAACTAATTGTACAAATCCCCAATTCCCTATTAATGAAACATATAAGTTAGTAATCAAATCGTTTAGACTGGAAACTGCAGCTGAATCACTCTTCGCTGATACTTTCCCTTGGTCTTAGCTAATGTAGTGCACTCTATGAATGTATTCAAAAGATGTTGACGTGAAGCCAAATCGTCCGTCAAATGTCGGCAGAAACTGTTTAAAACCTAGATTTGCTTAGCAGTGGTGATTAGAAGGCAAGCATGAAAAGGAACTTTTGAGGATACCAAAATCTCCCCTCAGAAATCTCGTCAAATTTCTCTATGCACAAATTTTCGACTGAAGCATTTTCTTGGTGCAAATCGAATTTATGGTTCGTGTTTATTTTTTCAAAATTTGGAGAGGTAAATGAATCAATATAACCGCTTATTACTCACGTACGTCTTAAATCTCAAAATGTGCGCCGTATCTGACACTTGAGTGATCGGAAAAATCACATTTATCTGAATTTCACTAAGAAAGTATGCTAAACATATTCAACACCAACTTTTGAAGCCTAGCCAAACAGTGAATGGCTTACAATCAAACGGCAACTTGAACATAAAACGTCCGCAATATGTAAGATCCATTCAAGTAAATTCGTAGCAAAAAGATATATTAGTAAAAGCAGCTTCAGTTTTTCTGAATGAGAGAATTTACAATATCCGTTGCACTGTCTAGATACAGCTTCTGCTAATCATTATTTATTTCAAAAAATGCGGCACAATATGTTTTTGAGACCTATCAGGAAATCGCTGTAGATTATATTTGTGGATAAGTAAAACTTGGACTAGTAATAGATCATTTTCATGAACTTTGGTCTTGAAATAATATGTTTTGCAAAGGTAGGTACAAAAAATTATTCAAAAAATTTAAATTACCTACATAGGCGGGGTTCGATTTGTAGTAAATTCATTCTTAAACGTATCCGTTCTAATCCGCGCTTTTTCATTTGTCGTAAATAAATGACGTGTTTAGTTGCTATTTTCTGTCTATCGTGTAATTAACGTGTAAAGGTTTTTTTGTACTCTACACCAGATGTGATACAAGCTATATTAATTTTTTATTTGTCAAGTTCTAGCCCAAGGGAGATCTGTATTGAAAGTTCCTTTTGCGGCCACTTTTTGTTTTGAAAACAAAAGGTTATATGAAGAAATATGCAATTCTCGAAGTTTCTCGACAAAAATCGCTAAGTACTAGAATTTCAGCGTTGTTCAGTAATGAATAGAATGAAGCAATCTTCTAAACGTCCTCCTATTTAAATCTTCACCCGGAAATAGGTGGCGAAAGATGATCGCCACACAGTAATTTGATCTCAAACTTAGTCGTATCAAATTTGCACCAACTATGTCTACTTTTTGAACACCACCCCATAGAAGCATTCTCGTAAGACATAACCCCTTGCAGAGTAAAACGGGGGAATTTTTTCAGCTTTTTTCGTCAATACAAGTCGATGATACATATACATAGTTTCCACTAAAGCGAGCATATTTGAGGATACCGAAACATCACATAGCGTGATCAGTATTTAGTAAGCTTAAACTAGTGCCTATAAATTTTATTATTTTTAGTTTCTATCATAAAAAAATAGTAAATAGACCTTCTCTCCATATAAGAGTTTTCTTTTGAAGATAATCTGTACATGTGTTACGATCTATAAAATACACCTATGGGAGCCAAGTTTCCTACCGTTTATTCTCTTGCCAAAAGAAAGTTAAACCCATTTCTGAAGGCGTTACTATTCATCAGCAATATTATATGAAGCGGCATTTCAAGCTATGTACCAATGTGATCCAAATTCAGCAAAGTTGAATTCTACGTTAATTTACTATTATGAACCATAAAATATAGAAAATTTTACCTTTTTCACCATAAAAAGATTCAATTTCCTAGAATTTAGAATGTCGAAGTACTATTACTGAGTAAGTTGACGCAAACTTTTTCCAACAGCTATCACTGTTGGGCCAGAACATGGCATGGTGCCAACTTTCATCAAAATACCTCAGACGAACAGAGTCACTTTCTGAATCGATCGGTATAATAAAAAGTGGGTCTATCTTAAGCCTTTCTGGGTATTACGCATGTCTGCATAAACTTAAACTGCCACAATTAGTGTAGGGTAGAAAAATATATCTAAACCTATCGTGAGTAGATATTTGACAATAAAGTGAATTTTTGACGATTTTTTTTATATCAAATCAAGTAATCCTTGATTTCATAGTGGTATTATTTTCCTATAAGTAATTGGAAAAGAAAACAAATTAGTGTTTATCCGTTCTTCGTATTGTGCAGATCAATAAGACTGTAGTGACATTTCGTATATTGCGCGAAATCTCTCTCTCAATAGAAATACACTTTAAGCGCAAATTAGTGCTAATATAAAATGCACGTTGCTGTGACATTGCAAATACTTAGGGCAACTAAAGCTTCGAAATTTGTGAAATATTTCACAACTTTGCCCGAACCGAAAGAACCGACAATTATGTCTGCCGCTGTACCCGGACCTAAATCTTTAGAATTGAAGGAAAAGTTGGGCGGTGTGCAAATGGCTGAAACCGTACAATTTTTCGTGGATTATGAATGTGCAACCGGAAACTATTTATGCGATGTAGATGGCAATGTTATGTTGGACACTTTTATGCAAATAGGTTCGATGCCATTAGGTTATAATCATCCCAGACTCTTAGGAGTTTTCAATAACGCTAAGAATGTGAAAACTCTAGTCAATCGTCCAGCATTGGGTTACTTTCCGGGTAAGGATTGGGCAACAAAATTAGAAAATATTCTTAAAGAGGTAGCTCCTAAGGGGTTAGATAATATAACAACTATGATGTGCGGTTCGTGTGCAAACGAGCATGCTTATAAAAACATATTTATCACTTATATGCGGAAAAAGCGAGGTGAAGATGCTTGTTTCACTAACGAAGAAATTGAATCGGCTATGAGAAATTGCCCACCAGGCGCACCTAATCTAAGTTTGCTGTCATTTAAAGGTGCATTTCATGGTCGCACAATGGGCGCTTTGGCAACAACGCGTTCTAAATACATGCATAAAATCGACATACCGTCCCTGGATTGGCCAATGGCTCCCTTTCCAAATTATAAATATCCCTTAGACGAGTATGAGAGATGTAACAAAGAGGAGGATAAAAGGTGTTTAGCTCAAGTCGAAGATCTCATTGAGGCATATTGTAAGAAGGAGAAACACGTTGCAGGTATTGTTGTTGAACCAATACAGAGCGAAGGTGGCGATAATCATGCATCTCCGGAATTTTTCCAACAATTGCAATGCATTTGTAAAAAGAACGACATTTCGTTATTATTCGATGAAGTTCAAACGGGCGGTGGTGGTACTGGTAAATTTTGGTGCCACGAACATTTTGATTTACCCTCGCCACCCGATGTGGTCACATTTAGCAAGAAATTGCAATTAGGCGGTTTCTTTCACACTTCGGATTTTCGTCCTCGAGAACCCCTACGCATTTTTAACACCTGGTTGGGTGATCCCGCAAAAATTCTTCTACTCGAACAAATCGTTACCGTTATAAAAGAGGATAAATTATTAGAGCAAGTCGAAAAAGCGGGTAAAGTGTTGAAAACTGGTCTATTGCAATTTGAAAAAGATTATCCGCATTTAGTAAATTCCACTCGAGGCCGTGGCACTTATTTAGCCATCAGTTCCGGAACACCGGACTTACGTGATACTATAGTTGGAAACTTAAGAAAATTGGGTATAATTACGGCCGGATGCGGTGAACAGTCTATACGTTTCCGGCCGGCCTTAATTTTTCAGGAGAGACATGCCAACATCGTACTTGATCGTTTACGCAAAGTTTTGTCTGAAATCAAGATATAATGTTTAGAATACATATTCCCTTATAAAGAAGAAACAACTATTCAAGATATGCACCAGATAATAAATAAAATATGAAGTTATCTTACATTTGAATAAACTTATTGCGAGAGGCTATCATTACTCTTCACTTTTTCTTATTGTACTTATTACCGAAGGATGGGAGGTATATTTATCTTGTCAAAAAGTACATATATGCTTGATCAGCATCAAATTACAGATCGATTTGGACATGTCCGTTTGACCGTCTGTGTAATGTCTATTGCAATTCTGTTTTCCGCAAAAATTAAGACATTGGCTTTAAATTTAGCAGAAGCACTGAAAGTTCCTGCACTGTGGTTGGTATTGATAGTGGACCAAATCGGTCAAAGCACACGCCCCACGATACCACGTAAGTGTGTCAATATTGAATTTTTTTTCAATACCGGAAACCTCATAAGGAATATGTATTCTTGGTCGGTTACAAATTTGGAATGCACCAACATGTACGCCTATTCGTCTGTCCATCTGCCTGTCCGCGGAGGTGTGTAGTATTCGCCATAAACATTTGCAAAAGAATTTGGAAGCGACGTTTCCAAGGGCAAGCCACCAAAGCCCGCGCACGGGAGAGGACGTGCAATCTCCCCCTTTCTATACCTTTGTTCGAACATGAACGACGTTGCGAAATTGTTAATTGATCGCACTCGAAGTAGGTCAGCTGGGATACTTTCCCCCATCCCACTTTATTTCCGCATCTGCTTATAATATATACACAAAGCTTTGCAACACTTGAACTACGCTAAGTACATTACTCTTACATTTAAACGTAAGGTCAAAACAAATCTTGCTGCTTTGCTCTGTACCATTAACATTAGAAAAAATTATAGGGCATTAATTGTAAAGTTTTGCTGTGTGCGTACAGATTGGAAACTACCCGGCCTTTGAAAACCAAAGGCTTGGCGTTTCTAGCCCAACATCCCAACCAATATACTTTTTCTTTACATTATCGCCAGTAAAACGCCGAGTTTTAACATTGTGCTGTTCGCAGCTTTCATGTAGTCATCGCATCCTCTTCTACGTTTCGTTTTATTAGAGACAAGCATATAGAAACTAAAACATTTATATTGTATCCGATTAAATGGTCTTTATGAATCCGTTAACATTTTATAGTCGAAGGAGACCGGCTAAATATCTTTCAACACTTCAACTAATTCTGGATTCTAGCAAAGATGCAAATCGAAATTAACTATTGTTTCTAACAAACTTGCAACAGACGAATAACGACGGACCCTTCTACATGAGTGCTAAGGATGCAGTACCACTATATATACATATATGTATGTCCACATCATTAAAGCGATTGGTGAATATTTTGACACAAGAATCAGACAACGTTCCGTAGGAAACTACTCAGGCACTCTACGAATCTACTCTGCGAATGCAGAAGTTCTGCAAGCCAATGGTGGTCCAAAACTTAATAAATAAAAATTATGTCAGGCTTTCATATTATTGTATCCATTCCCTCAATATTTATAGTTTTTGTTTAAAATTTCAAATTACAGTAAAAGCTCCTTATTCGCGGGGTATACGTTCCATAAAAATGCCCCGAATATAGAAACCGTGAATACGAAATGGTAATTTATATGGTATTATAGGGGATACGTTCCTAGGTGACAAAATAAAAAAAAAACAAATATATAAAAAAATCAATTTAATTGAAGTTTTTGAACATTTTGAATAATTGTCTTAAGGCTTACGCAATGATTTGAAGATACGCAGCAGTCGCATTAGCAATTTGCCTATCAAAAATAAGACTTCGTTCCATAGACGGATCAATGTTCGTGAAGAAATCGCCAAGCTCATTTGCCATTCTTAAACCTTCACTAAGACTTTTCAAATTAAAGGTCACGTTTCCACTGCTAGTTGAAGTCTCTTCTTCAATGGGTGAATTTAACATTTCCTCTAAATCGTTTTCAGTCATCTTGCGATTCATGCAATTCGTGAATGTCACTTCATTCTATCTGTTCGAACACATCTCGTCGTGTTTGCAATCGAAGTTTGAACTTGCACAGATTCCTCGTCATTTTCCGCAGTCAGAGCAAGCCACAGTTTTTTCCAGCATGATTTCAATCTGTGTGGATTCAGTTCTTCCAATGATTTTTTTATGTTTAGGATGCATTTTGTTATGTCACATTTCTTCTTGCATTCCATAACATTCATATCAGGATTACATTCCATATTATCCAATATGACTTTGAAGGTTGGTCAAATGTAATAGAGTTTAAAGGCCTGGATTATTCCTTGGCCCATAGGTTGAAGTAAAGCCGTCGCGGTGAGAGGTACAATTTGTTGTTGTTGGATGCATAGTTTCAAGTTCGCGAGGATGACCTGGCACATTGTCCAAACTAAAAAAGCTTTAAAGTGTAAATTCTGTTTTTTTAAATAAGTTTCAACATCAGAAACAAAACAATTCCGGAACCATTCACAAAAAATCGGCGAATAAAGAAATTTATAGCCGCGAATATGGGAATTGGGTCGCATTTTTTTAATCCGCGAATAGTGAAACCGCGAATAAAGGAAGCGCGAATAGGGAACTTTTACTATATATTCAAATAGGTTTTTAAAAATCTCGTCAAAAGAAAAGAAATTTATTTAGTCGCTTATCACTACCAATAGGTTCACATTTTCATAAGTAAAGCCTCCACAATTTGTAGACTAATCGCATGCATTACCCATTCTGTCTACGGCCAATTCCTTGTCATTAACTGAATGTAAACTAATAAGCAGAAAAATGTCATGGAACTTATAGAGAACATTTTAATTACTTTGTTTTGCCAAATTTTCAATTTTATTGTACACTACTGGTCGATATTACTTTAGACGGGAAAGAAATATATTTTTAAAGGTTATACTTTGCTCGCTTTACTTAATGGGAACTTTAGGTTAACCGAACAAATTGATAGCTTTTTCACATTATTGCATAATTGTAATATATGCTTGCTTCGGTTTATTTGTCTTTAAAAAACCAATCTAAGTTTGCATTATTTATGCAGAATTGTTTTTAAAATATAGAACCTTTTCGACTCCAAAAACCCGAGAGATTAGATAGACATTACGGCTTGTGAAAAATTGCAGGCCTAGGAACTGATAGGCAAGCAAAATGCGAGAAACTGAATAACTCATGAAAATTTATAACTTGTATGCTTATTTCACAGGATGTAAACCAAACGCTGCGACATTAGGAATCAGGCGATAATAATTGCAAAGGCAACTCGATTAAACGGACCAAGTGTCAAATAGAAAGTAAACTTCCATGATAATATCAATGCGAAGCATGTATTTGTTTTTGTAATTTGGTAAAGGCAATGCCCGAATTATGGAGTCATATTTATAGTGTGTGAATGAACGATTTTGGTATATATATTGAGAATTTCGCTTTTTCGGGAAAGGCAATATATGAATGAATATAGGAAAGCCCCTAAGAGAAAAGCATGCGCAGAGATACAAATTGCAATGTCAGCACATATTAAACCTCGAAAATTTCAATAAATATAACGAAAGAAATTACATTTTATTAATATATCCGAAAATGATTCAAATAAAAAATGCATATGTCTATACGTTTACGTTAATAAAACCAAAAATACGCACTAAACACTATATAAACACAAAAAAGTGTTCGTTTATAGTTGCTGATCGTCTTCTTCATATTAATGATTTTTCTTTAAGGATTAGAAGCTACCTTCACGGAAAATGCATATCTGCTAAAAGTTGAATGTTCAAGGTTTCAGTTCGCAATGTTATCACCACAATCAATCACGATCGAACGAATGAATTTGCGGAACGAAGCCATGTTTGATATACTGCCTTTTTTAAACTCTGCAGTTTGTGTGTGATGCCCTCCGTAACTTTTAAATTTCTTTGTAAATACGATTTGTGTAAACTAAACAATATGAATTTAAACACAATGATTGCATTAGCAGCATTCAGTGCAGCATATATTTTTGAGAAAATTCCAACCTTGCTGCATTTATCCGAATTGTCAAGAAACATAGGGAGAGAGATAAAAGAGGGAATGAACTTTATAATGTATTCTCCGCATGTACTTGACCATGATTCTATGTGACGACTTCACTAGCTGCAACATCATCCGGGGCTCGACAGGAAACAACGGTCTTGCTACAGTTTTGGAAAAGACCTTCATTCAAAGCGATCTCATCATTTTAAAAGGCATTGCAATCATTAGAGCAAAAAAGTTGACTACAATTGTAGATTGTTTGGGGCGCTCGGTTGACGTTTTGCAAACTTTCGTGTAAATGGCATCTATCAATTGCAAGTGATAACTTTGGACACCGTCAAATTTAAATTCTTTTCGGCAGAAATCACGACATTCCGTAGCAGGCATGCCCGATTCTATCAATCTCAACGTGCTCCTTGTATATCTGGGCGGCTTTAAAAGACTTTTCATTAGCACGCAAAAAACCCGTTTTAAATGTCAAATATACTTTTGGTTATGTTTCCGAGTTCAGTGTTAAATTATTTTCTATTGATTCTTCTAGTAGACGATACATTAATTTTTTTCTTTGTAATTGCTGTGAAGATAGATAGGAAAGAAGGCACTCTTTAAGTAAGCAAGAAGCTTTTCATCCATAGTCTAAAGTAAGCAAGAAGCTTTTCATCCATAGTCTAAAGATAGAGAGGGTTTTATTATCAGAAATTTGTAGAGAGCAGTCTCCAATTGCTCCCAATTCCTTAGATTTTGAGGAAGCTTTCCATGAAGTTCCTGATAAAGATTTACAATTTTTTCGATAAATTTCTTTCCACCGGTTGTTGTAATTCCGCTAAACGTTCCATTGTAAAAATTAGCAGAAAATAATAAATAGTAAAGCTAGGCGATTCACGCGTGAAAAGACCTCCACAATTTATGTTCTCAGCATATAAATTTAACAAATCGTTGCAGTGTTCCTAATCTAATTCGAAAATTTTCAACACATCGAGAAAGTTTTTCATAGAAATAGCGCGTC